CTTACCTGCGGCCCCGCCGCCCTTATCTGTGGCCCCGCCGCCCTTACCTGCGGCCCCGTTGCCTGCTGCTGCGGCCCCGCCACCTTACCTGCGGCCCCGCCGCCCTTATCTGCGGCCCCGCCGCCCTTACCTGCGGCCCCGCCGCCCTCCGCTGCGGCCCCGTCACCTTACCTAAGGCCCCGCCGCCCTTATCTGCGGCCCCGCCGCCCTTACCTGTGGCCCCGTCGACTGCTGCTGCGGCCCCGCAACCTTACGTGCGGCCCCGCTACCCTTACCTGCGGCCCAGCCACCTTACCTGCGGCCTCGCCACCTTACCTGCGGCCCCGCCGCCCTTCGCTGCGGCCCCACCACCTTACCTGCGGCCCCGCCACCTTACCTGCGGCCCCGCCACCTTACCTGCGGCCTCGCCACCTTACTTGCGGCCCCGCCACCTTACCTGCGGCCCCTTCGCCTACTACAGCGCCGCCCGCCACCCGAGCTGCCCCAGCCGCCATACCCAGCCGAGCAGCCGACCGCCGCGCCGCCCTGCAGCCGAACCGCCTAGCAGCCCAGCCGCCTAGCAGCCGAGCCGCAGAGCCACCCACCTGCCGAGCCGCCGAGCCGCCCAGAAGCCGAGCCGCCTAGCAGCCGAGCCGCCCACCAGCCGAGCCATCCAGCAGCCGAGCCGCCCAGCAGCCGAGCCGCCCAGCAGCCGAGCCGCCCGCACCGCCGAGCCGCCCGAGCCGCCCTGTCCGGTAAGAGCAGCGCCTCTTTCTCAGCACTGCCCTTACCCTACTGTTTGCGCTGCTAGTCTACTGCTATCATGGCTACCCCTAGTGTCCTCGCTTTTGACGCTGAGGGTAGGGCCATTGACTTTGACGTCTGGATAGATGACCTGCAGCTTTTCTTACAGTGCGATAGGGCAGACGGTCTCTCCCTCTTTGACCTCACCTCTGGTGCCTCTCCTGCCCCTGCTGCTGATGCTGACACCACTGTTCGCTCACAGTGGGCCACGCGCGGTGCTGCTGCACGTCTTGCTGTGCGTCGCCACCTTCCTACCTCTGAGCATGTGCACTTTAGCCAGTACAAGAGTGCTCAGACCTTGTACAACGCTGTAGTTGCACGCTACTCCTCCCCTGCCACTGCTGCACTGAGCCGCCTCATGCTACCGTACCTCTTCCCTGACCTTGCTGCCTTTCCCACAGTCGCTGACCTCATTACGCACCTCCGCACTAGTGACACTCGCTACTGCGCTGCGCTTCCTGCTGAGTTCTGCGCCATGAACCCCCCCCCCCCATGTACGTCACTCTCTACTATATAGTCACCCGCCTCCCTGACTGAGGTGAAGGTGGAGGCGGCGGGGGGAAGTGGGGGTGGCGGTGGGAGTGGAGGTGGGGGAGGAGGTGTCGGCGGCGGCAGTGGAGGCGGAGGCGGTGGCGGCGGTGGCGGTGGGAGCGGAGGTGGCGGAGGTGGCGGCGGTGGAGGAGGCGGTGGCGGAGGAGGTGGAGCTGGTCGGGGTGGCGCTGCGCAGAGGGTCGGCTCCGACAGTGGTCAGCGCCAGCAGCAGCAGCAGCAGCAGCAGCGCGCTCGTGACACCCCCTCCCCTCAGCAGCTCAGTGAGTGGTACACTGCTCGCCAGCGGGGTGGGGGTGCTGGTTCGTGCACCTACGTCCTGCGCACCGGCGACCGTGCGGGTGAGCAGTGTGGGGGTGCGCACTCCACCCAGCGCTGCTTTGGCCGCCTGACGGACGCTTGGCGTCACCAGTTTCCGGAGGCCACGGAGATCCCTCGCTGGGGTGAGCTGTCTAGGGCGGGGTAGCCACACACATACGGCGACGGGGATCCACGCATCTCCCAGCTGCACAAGTCCCTCTACGGGATCAAACAGGCACCAAGGCTCTGGCAGCAGTACCTGCACAACATACTGCTTGAGATCGGATTCAAGCAGCTGCCTCACGATCCTGGGATGTATCGCCGCGATTTCCGCGGCGAATACATCCTACTCACGGTCTACGTCGACGACCTCCTCTACACAGGCTCAAGCAACGAACTGCTCCAGCAGTTTGAGAAGAGCCTCGCAGGGCGCGTCGACATCAACTGCAATCATGACGTGAAGCAGTTTCTCGGACTCAACATCACCTACTCGCCGGAAGCCATTCATCTCTCAGCAGCGAAGTATGCGGAGGAGCTTAGCAAGCGCTTCAACATTGCGCCTGCACCACTCTCCACCCCTTACCGCACTCCAGGACCCAACTACAAGGCTGACAACAAAGCCCTGTCCCTTGCTGGGCTTCACACTTACCAGCAGCAGTTGGGATGCCTGCTTTTCGCATCCGTCACCTCAGGCCCGACCTCTCCTATATTGCGAGCCAGTTCGCTCAGTACTCACGCAAACCAACGGTTGAGAACCTCTCAGATCTTCAGCGAGCCCTTCAATTCTTCATCTCCACGCCCAATGTCGGGCTCAGCTACTCCACCATCCCAACCGCATCCTTCAGTCTCGTCGGCTACGTGGATGTTGATCACGCCGCTGATCCTGGCAATCAACGGTCGAGGACAGGGTTCCTCTTCCGCCTCGAGCCCAGCGGCCCCATCTCCTGGAATTCTCAGAAGTAGGAGTTGGTTGCCCTGTCATCGGCGGAAGCTGAATCCATGGCAGCAACAGCAGCTGTTCGCGAATGTCTCTACCTTCAGGAGCTGTTGCAGGAAGCGAAAATCCCGGCCTCAACGAACTTTCGCCTGCACTGCGATAACCAGAGCGCGATCAAGATCGCGAACAAACCTGGCTTCGTCAACCGCACCAAGCACATCGCACTGCGGTACTTCTTCGTCAAGGACGAAGTTGACAAAGGCAAAGTTGACCTGACATACTGCCCAACGGGTGACATGGCAGCAGACTTCCTCACGAAGAAACTGCCGCGTCAGCAGTACCAGCACTGCTCCGAACTCAGCGGAGTAGTCAAGCGGGTCAACATTCGCTACGGCCAGGAGTGAAAGGGGGGTGTTACGAATAGTAATATTTGATATTACTGAACACTCCTCACTGCAGCAAAGGAACACGCAATATCGGGAATGATCGCGAAGCGTCAGACGGTTGGAATTGAATCGAATAGTCGGACGGTTACAGCACATCTGGACCGTCGGGAGCAGACGGCATCTAGCAGCTGCAGGCAGGATGGTTTTGGCGGAAACAGTTACGAAACTGTACGCGCCGAACGGCTGGGATGCATTTGAATAAGGGAATGTACCCCTTAGAGTACATGGCTAGTTAGGTCGTTTCGAATTCCTCTGTACTCTTATTTATATTCCTTGTACTGCATGTTTTTATCATCTCAAGCATCTACATTCACTCTGCTATTGAGGTCAAGGGCCCACCACCACTTCACTAGAACTGTGCGAACATTCCTGAGGTGATCCTGGTTACGATCCCTTTCTGATCGCAACAGGATTTAATATATATTATGTACTAGATCTTTCCTGTATTCAAATTGTGCTGAAAATGCATGATGCAGTTTAGCGTACCTGGTACCATAAAATCAGTCATGAATCCCATGTACATGCTTTTAAAATATGCCAAGTGACCACAAAAAGCATGTCCGTGATTGTACGTCCCCTCCTGACCTGACCAGGTCAGCAAATTGCAGCGTCCACGTCAAGTCTCTCAGTCCTGACGCAATCGGCTCGGCAAATAAGGAAGCTGGGCAGCGAAGTAACTTTACCACACTTCGCGAGATGGTTACATTCTCTTTCTGGAGTAACGAAAGTCCTGTACGCGATGATGTATTCGTTCTGCGACACAATTCTGCGAAATGCATGACACCCCCTTCCTGCAAATTCCAGTGCCGCACGTGCAGTCACGTCAATCGCATGCACTGCATCCCATGCGAACGTCACATCTGGGCCAATCCACGACAGCACGAGAGCAATATGAGGCGGCATGGCAGCCAGTCAAGCAACGCCCGATCCAGCTCACTTCGGCCAGGCCCTATCCCCGACAGCCCTCAAAAGCAACGCCTTGGAGTGGAGGGAAACTCCAGAACGAACACTGGTACACCGACAGGACAACATTAAAACGCGATGTAAATCTATACCGCACTGAACCTTTCGGTAATCTTTACAACATCTGTCTCACCGACCGGAATCGCGACTACGAGTCTGAATCCGTAAGAACACCCAGCAGTTTCCAATCGGGCTCTGTGGACGGACAAATCTAACTGGGTTTCATTTCACGTCACCTCACCTTACCACCGCAACACGCGTCTTCCTCTATCCTAATGTGCCTAAATATTTTCAGAATGCCACCAGCAGACAACTCACAACACAGTACACTGCACCTCATCATCCCGTCCTACGCCACCTAATCTTGATGCGTTGTACATTGCTCGTTGCCGCCATTTCCTCCAGGCATTTGCGTGCTGCTAGTTTCTCTGTTGCTTGTTCGCGTCGTAGTTTCCAGCCATTTTCAGCAATATAAACTGCTGATTCAGCGAAATTGTGTATGCCTTCGGTTCTGTACAAATTTCCCTGAAATTTAGTCTACCTAGACTTCAAGCACACGTTGAGTCAAGACGGACGTCTAGGCTGTGCGGGAAGCCCAAGGACCAGTATTTTCAACGTAGAATCGCCAATACGTTGTAATGGCTTCCGTCTGGTGCCTTTCAGTTTCGACAGGGATTCCTTTTGGATGATATAGAAACAGCATTATATCGTTTATCGCCGCACGACCAATCAACGAGTCGCAGAACGGAGCCATAGTAGCTAGATTCGGTGCCTCGTAGAGCGCAGATAATAGTACTACTCCAATAATTGAACCTCACCCTGCCATTACTTCCCCGATGGATGGCCCTTCATACGGCCGGGGTTATGGCGGCGCGAATGCGGAGTTTTATCTTCCGAACTATAGGCTAGGCAAAACGCTAGGTATAGGCTCGTTCGGTAAGGTAAAAGTTGCGGAGCATGTACTGACGGGACATAAAGTGGCGATTAAAATCCTCAACAGGAAGAAGATCCGATCCATGGACATGGACGAAAAAGGTGCGTCTTTCGCCAGATTGTAGCAACGGGCAGCGTTTTATTCCGTAATTTCTGACATCCTTCCGGTCTTTCTCGAGGTTCATTTTCCTTCGGAAGAAAGACATATCCGTGCATGTCTCGTGTTGCGTTTTGATGTTTGCGTTTCGGGTTGCGCTTCGGCTCGGCGATTCCTCCTCTTTATCCATCCGCACTTTATCCATCGACCTCTCATTTTCACTTCATTCTCACTTCCATTCGCTATTCAATCGCACTTCATTCGCCGGTACGAAGTTACAGAAACCCCCACTTACATCCTTCTCTTTTCATTCCTATCCAGAATCTGTCTTCTCCTCCTCCGTCTCTCCCTCCTCTCCCTCCAACCCTCCGTCCGTCCATCAGTGAAGCGCGAGATCAAGATCCTACGGCTCTTCATGCATCCGCACATCATCCGGCAGTACGAGGTGATCGAGACGCCCACCGACGTCTTCGTGATCATGGAGTACGTCAAGTGCGGCGAGCTCTTCGATTACATCGTCGAAAAGGGCCGCCTCGCAGAGGATGAAGCGCGCCGATTCTTCCAGCAGGTGGGTGCCTCATATTTTACCTGAGGGTATTTTGAATTTCTCTCTTCCTCTCCCTTCCCCCTCCACGTCCCCCCTCCCCCTCCACGTCCCCCCTCCTCCTTCCCCCCCAACCCCTCCCCCAACACACGCGCATCTGCTTCGCCTCATCGCTCGCTCCTGAACGGCCCATCATAATATGCACTATGTGGATCATGTGCAGGGTGGATGGATGGAGTATCGCCGTGGCGTTGCATCATGGTGCTTGCTTCACGCACTGGAATATAAATCCCGCTCCCTCCCCTCTCCCTCCTCCACCCCTCCCTCACATTCGCGCCTCACCTTCGCACCATGCTGCTGCAGATCATCAGCGGGGTGCACTGCCATCGCAACATGGTGGTGCACGCACAGGGACATCATGCCCCCTTGCTCTCCATTCTCCCCCCCTCTTCCTCACCTTCCCGTTTCCCCTTCGTACCTTGCTGCTGCAGATCATCAGCGGGGTGGAGTACTGCCATCGCAACATGGTGGTGCATCGCGACTTAAAGCCCGAGAACCTGCTGCTGGACGGCAAGGGCAACATCAAGATCGCGGATTTCGGGCTCAGCAACGTCATGCGCGACGGGCACTTCCTCAAGACGTCCTGTGGCAGCCCCAACTACGCTGCTCCGGAGGTATGAATGGGCAAGTGAGGTGCCTGCCTTGAGAGTGACTGCCTCAAGGTCGCAGACTTTGGGCTCAGCAACGTCATGCGCGACGGGCACTTCCTCAAGACGTCCTGTGGCAGCCCCAACTACGCTGCTCCGGAGGTATGAATGGGCAAGTGAGGTGCCTGCCTTGAGAGTGACTGCCTCAAGGTCGCAGACTTTGGGCTCAGCAACGTCATGCGCGACGGGCACTTCCTCAAGACGTCCTGTGGCAGCCCCAACTACGCTGCTCCCGAGGTATGAATGGGCAAGTGAGGTAATGTCTAGGGTTTCAGAGTGGCTGCCTTGGCATCAAGATCGCGGATTTTGGGCTCAGTAATGTCATGCGCGATGGGCATTTCCTCAAAACGTCCTGCGGCAGTCCCAATCACGCTGCCCCCGAGGTACGGGTATCAAGCGGTTACTATAGGTAACAGCAGTGAAGTGCGGGTAACGTGAAACGGGAAATGGGGACCGGGAAACAAGAAGCAGGCAAGGGTTAACGGACAACGGCCCCCAAAACGGGTGATTATATAGATACTATGCTGCTTTCAAAGGTGCCAGTGGCGAACGAGTTGTGAAGGCACATGGCTTGTTCTGAACGAAAGGTGTATAGGTCGATCTTCGCCCCTGCTTTTTTTTTGTATTTGTTTTTTGTTTTTTTTTTTTTTTGGATGCCATAGCACTTGGGGGAGCAATGCCTATGCACCGCTGTATACTCTTCTGGCAGGTCATTTCCGGGAAGCTATACGCGGGACCTGAGGTGGACGTGTGGAGCGCGGGCGTGATCCTGTACGCGCTGCTGTGTGGCAGCCTGCCGTTTGATGACGAGAACATTCCCAGCCTCTTCAAGAAGATCAAGGTACTGTGTGCGGTGCAGTGCAGTGCAGTGCGGTGTGGTGCTATGCGGTGTGGGAAGCTGAGTGGGGAGATGGGAGTGATGGAATGGAAGGAGGAGAGAAAGTCGAAGGACAGAAGATGTGGGAAGGAACAGGGATTCATGGAAAGAATATTAGGAGAAAAATAAGTAAGTAAAAGAAAATCGAAGGAAGGAGGAAATGGTCCCATTCAGAGCAGGGCCACATTTCAAAACTCCCGAGTGCATGAGATTCCATACAACGAGTGCTTGAGTAGAAGATGGATTACCCCCATCCCTCAATCCACCTTTACCCCCCATTTCCCCGCCCTCTCCATTCCCCCGTTCCGCCTTCCCCAAAAGTATTTTCCAGGTTCCCCCCGTTTTCCACCTATTCCCGCCCCCATTTCCCGCCGCCGTTCCCCCTCGCCACCCCCACTCCCGTCATCCCCCCCCCCCCCCCCCCGCTTGTAATCTCGTTCCCCTTTAACCCCCCCTTCTATCTCCCCCCTTCCTCCCCTCCTCCCTCGCGCTCATTCAGGGCGGCATCTACACGACCCCTGGGCAACCTGTCATCAGAGGTGCGCGACCTCATTCTGCGCCCCCTCTCCCACCTCTCCGTCCTTTACCCTCCACCCCCTCCCCCCACTCTGTCCCCACCTCCCCCTCTCCCCTCCCCCTCTCCCCACGCGCATCAGGGCGGAATTTACACGATCCCTGGCAATCTGTAGGCGCGCCGCGCATGCTGCTGGTGGACCCGCTGCTGCGCATCACCATGCCCGAGATCCCCCACCTTTCCCCCCACCCTCATTCCCCACACCCATTCTCCCACGCCCATTCCCCCCCGCGTGAATTCCTGCGCTCCCATCCCCTCAAACCCGTTCCCCCACTCCCATTGCTCCCCCCCTCCCCATTCCCCATTCTTCTCAGGGAGGCATATACACGATCCCCGGCAACCTGTCATCAGGCGCGCGTGACCTCATTCCGCGCATGCTGCTGGTGGATCCGCTGCTGCGCATCACCATGCCCGAGATCCGCCAGCACCCCTGGTTCTGCGCCAAGCTCCCGCGCTACCTCGCTGTTCCGCCCCCCGACACTGTCGAGCAGGCCAAACGGGTGCGTAGGGGTGGGAAGGGATGGGGTGTTTTTGGGGGGTGCCGGGTCTGAGAGGGCGCGGGGAGGTTGAAAGCAGTGAAATCGCCGGAGAAAGCAGGTTCCAGTCCGGTATGTCGTGGGGGTGTGTGGTTGGGTTGGGTGGGGTGCGGTGATAGCGATAATGGGTGCAATGCAAGAAGGAAGGCGCATTCTGCTGGTGGATCCGCTGCTGCGCATCACCATGCCCGAGATCCGCCAGCACCCCTGGTTCTGCGCCAAGCTCCCGCGCTACCTCGCTGTTCCGCCCCCTGATACCTTCGAGCAGGCCAATCGGGTGCGTAGGGGTGGGGTGGAGAGGGTTGGGATGGGTTGGGATGGGGTGGGGTGGGGTGGGGTGGGTGGGTGAATGGGTTGGTGGGTGCTGGTTGGGCTGGGTAATAGGTTCACGAAGACCAGCTTTTTTCGAGAAATCTCTGAATCCAATTGCCTCCGGATACCATCGAGCAGGCCAAACGGGTGGGTAGGGTGGGGTATGTGGGAGAACTTTGCTACAGAAGGGATCAAGGATCCACTTACATGTCCCCACTCATCCGTAGCTTAATCACGATTGTGTCAAACACATGGTGGAACCCACACACGGCCACATTGGGTTGGGTGGGTGCTGTCTTGCTTTTTATTCAGAAACGTGAGTGACGAAGAATCGGGCTGGAACCATGTAAAGATTTGTTATTTTATCAAATCAAATCTTGAGGGTGAGTTTCAAACTAACACTCTGGAGCTTCTCACTAATCAGGGCCGCATTTGTCATACCCCGAACCTGAACACAAACCTGTTTACCTTTCTGGACACGTGTGTGTGTATCCATTGCGGCAACAGATAGACCAGGACGTGTTGGCAGTGGTGGTGAAGATGGGGTTCGACCAGCGCCAGCTCACGGAGGCTCTCAGGAACAGACAAGCCACCAAGGTACCGTAAGATTCGATTTGCGCTCATTTTATGCTACAAGTGCAAGCCAGGGTCAGTGATGCTACAAGTGCAAGCCAGGGTCAGTGATGCTACAAGTGCAAGCCAGGGTCAGTGATGCTACAAGTGCAAGCCAGAGTCAGTGATGCTACAAGTGCAAGCCAGGGTCAGTGATGCTACAAGTGCAAGCCAGGGTCAGTGATGCTACAAGTGCAAGCCAGGGTCAGTGATGCTACAAGTGCAAGCCAGAGTCAGTGATGCTACAAGTGCAAGCCAGGGTCAGTGATGCTACAAGTGCAAGCCAGGGTCAGTGATGCTACAAGTGCAAGCCAGGGTCAGTGATGCTACAAGTGCAAGCCAGGGTCCACCAAGGTTCCAGGGTTCTGGATTGGGAGGGGTAGGCTTGATTAGCTACGGCTTGCAGTGGTCGACCCACAACTTGCGATTTCTTGCTCAAGAATTTCAAGTTTAGTTGTGAATCAGTAACCTCTGATCCCGCTTCCCTCACCTCCCGCGTCGTCTCCCTCTCATCCGTCAACCATTCACTCTCGCAACAATCTCCCGGGCTGACTTTTGAGTCGACTCAAAAGTCACCTCATCCGTCAACCATTCACTCTCACAACAATCTCCCACGCTCCCCCTCTCCCCTCTCCCCCCCCTTCCCCCATTCCTTCTCCCTTCTGCACCTGAGGCTGCAGTAGCGTCTTGTCTTACCTGATGCTAGACCCTTCCCACCCCCTCTCCTCCTCGCTCCCCACCAGGCCACGGTGGCATATTACCTGATCATGCTGGACAACAGCAGCCGCATTGCATCGCAGCAGGAGTCTCATGAACTGCTGTCCCAAACTGGCCCCAGAGCCCCCTTCTCGCGCCCTCCATTTCCTCCTCGCTCCCCACCAGGCCACGGTGGCATACTACCTGATCATGCTGGACAACAGCAGCCGCATTGCATCGCACAGGGTTTCCTTTTGTTCTGAGATATACTAGCAATCCTGCCCATACCCGCAACACCTCCCCTCCACAGGCTACAGTGGCATACTACCTGATGCTGGACAACAGGAGCCGCATCGCATCGGGGCAAGAGTTTATTGAAACATCTCAAACACCCTGCAATACCCCCTCCCCCCCCTCCCCCCCTCTCCTCCTCTCTTCGTTCCGCCACCAGGCTACAGTGGCATACTACCTGATGCTGGACAACAGGAGCCGGATCGCATCGGGCTACCTGGGATCTGAAATAGAAGAGATCAAACAGCGGGTGAGTTGGCCTGGGCAGGCTGGTCTAGGAGGGAGAGGGGGGTGGGGTGGGAGAAGAGATGGAGACACGGCGAATGAAGACAGGGCGAGCAGGACAGAAGGGGAAGAGGGGGGAGACTGTGGATTTGCATACTGATATGTCTCAATGTTTTCAACCCCTGATGCCTGGAGTTCTGTTGCTTTTCGGCTTATGCATTAACGGGGAAGAAGAAGAAGAAGAAGAAGAAGAAGAAGAAAAAAACACGTGGACTTTTCTGTTTGTGTTTCTTTCCACCGTCCTGATTTCCTATTGTTTAGGGACTTGTGAGTGTACTCTGCTGTTCTCCCGTGCATCTCTTTTGGGTTGACTGACTCCGAAGTCTCCTGTTTCTGCTCTGGCCAGTGACTCTGCTCTGCCGCTCTTCCCTGCATCTCTTTTGGGTTGACTGACTCCGAAGTCTCCTGTTTCTGCTCTGGCCAGTGACTCTGCTCTGCCGCTCTTCCCTGCATCTCTTTTGGGTTGACTGACTCCGAAGTCTCCTGTTTCTGCTCTGGCCAGTGACTCTGCTCTGCTGTTCTTCCCTGCATCCACTAGCCATCCCTTCAAATTCATAATCCCCGTCTTTTCTCATTCCATGCGTCACCCACAGTCACACAACCACAAAGCAGACCTGCCAACATCCCTCCCAATCACTTTCAGTGCAACTGTGCAACTACCCACGGACATGGTTCTCCAAGTAAAAAGACTACTATTGAGGCGCCTCAAAAGTCTTTCAGTGCAACTGTGCAACTACCCACGGACATGGTTCTCCAAGTAAAAAGACTACTTTTGAGGCGCCTCAAAAGTCTTTCAGTGCAACTGTGCAACTACCCACGGACATGGCTCTTCAAGTAAAAAGCGCATTAGCGAAATCTCTCTACTCCTGATGCACCCCCTTATGCCCCCAGTCGCACGGGCATCTCATGGAGCTCGCAGCAGCAGGCGCGCGGGACGCACACGCGCAGCCAAACGCCATCCAGCAGCTCTTGACTGCACCTCACTCACAGGCATTATATCGCGTGTAGTGAGGTGCATATTGAATCTTGAGGCCTCAAAATGCACCTCAATACGCGCGGGAGCCAAACGCCATCCAGCAGCTCTTGACTGCACCTCACTCACAGGCATTATATCGTCCCCTGCCATCTCCCGTTCCCCTTCCTACCCCGCCAGTCGCACGGGCATCTCATGGAGCTCGCAGCAGCAGGCGCGCGGGACGCACACGCGCAGCCAAACGCCATTCAGCAGCGGCGATCCGTGGGGGGGAACGCGGCTACCATGGCCATGAACATGCACGGGGGCATGGGCAGCGGGGGAGTGGGTGGAGGCATGATGGGGGGCTCTCCCGTGCATCACCACTGTCGAGTTGTGGCGGAACGGAAGTGGGCGCTGGGACTTCAGGTGCGTTTTCTTGGCGTGTTTTGAGTTGATACAAAACACATGGCATGATGGGGGGGGTTTCCCATCAAAGAACATGGCATTAAGCCATGAGCAAACCCACCTTCACGGTTACCCACCACCATCTTTCCCACTCCTCTTTGTGTCACTCTCTCTTTCTCTGTCTCGCTCTCTCCATCTCCGCTTCCTAGTCTCGCGCCCACCAGATAATGACAGAGGTGCTTCGAGCAACAGAGTTTTCATCAGTGCACACATCTCCCCGTTTCACTCTCTCTTTCCCTGTCTCGCTGTCTCCATCTCCTCCTCCCAGTCTCGCGCCCAGCCAGTGGACATAATGACAGAGGTGCTGCGGGCACTGCATGCGCTGCACGTGAGATGGAAGAAAACAACCAATCACACCGTCAGGTGCCGGTGGGAGGCCCCCACACCCTCCCGCCCCCTGCAAATACACACTGACACTGGCGCACTGTTCACCGACACAGCCTCTGCTGCTGCCGCAGCGGGTGCAGCAGCGGTGTCAGGAGTAGGAGCAGGTGTGGGTTGGGAGTGTAGGGGAGCGAAGGTTGCTCCTGAGATAGATACTGGCGTGGGAGTGGGCACAGGAGCGAGGATGGGTATTGGTGTGGGGGCAGGGATGTGTAGGGAGGGACATTGCTGTTCAGGAGCAGTTTCGTGCAGTGCTGCTGATGGTGGTGCTGGTGGCTGTGCTGCTGCCGGTGGTGGTGGTGGTTTCAGTGGAGGGGAGAGGGGAAGCAGCAAGGGGATGGAACTGGAAGGATGGCAGGGAGGCTCTGATACCAGTTTTGGTGGGGCTGGGGAGAGCGAAAAGGCTCTTTCGCAGCAGAGGCAGCAGCAGGAGCGAGCGACTGAAGCGATGTTTTCAGGGGAGTTGCGGAGAGTTCTCCGATTCGAAATGCAGGTGCGGATTCTCGTTCCGTGTTCCCTTCTTCCAATCTCTTCCCTTCCCCTTCCGCCCACAACCCAACTCTTTCTTTTCATTATCCTTCTCTTTTCTCTCACTCCCCCCCTCTTTGCATTCTGTATAACTGCTCCCCCAACCCCTTCCCCACACTTTCCCCTCTGCGTGTCGAACTCTCTCTGCACAGTTGATGCGTGTGCATGAGGACAAGTATCTGCTGGACTTACAGCACATGGACGGCTTTCAACTCAATCACACCTAACCCCCCTCTCCCCCCCCCACCTCCCTTCCCGCACTTTTCCTTCTGCATGTTGAACGCACTCTCTCTCTGCACAGTTGATGCGTGTTCGCGAAGACAAGTATCTCCTGGACCTACAGCACATGGACAACTCTCACATGCTCTTCACACCTAACCCCCCCCTCCCCCCCCCCCCTCTCTCTCTTCCCGCACTTCACCTTCTGCATGTCGAACGAACTCTTTGTGCACAGTTAATGCGTGTGCGCGAGGACAAGTATTTGCTGGACCTACAGCACATGGACGGCTCTCACATGCTCTTCATCGATCTCGTCGCGCTCTTCCTCGCTGAACTGCACGTTGTGTGACTCACTGTATGCACACGTGCTTGCGGCATGTGTTGCCTACTGCTACTGTTTACTGCTGCTGTGTCGTGTGTCATTGTGCGTGCATGTGTGCGCCTGTGTGCTGCTCACTCCTGTCTGCTGCTGTCGCCTTGCACGCACGCAAGCGCACGTGCGTGCGCTCGGTTCGCACATGCGTCCTTCTCAAGGGGCAGGCAGTTCCGCCGTGTTCTGTGTGACCGTATTTGTTAACTCACGTGGTGTCATATAACCAGCACATGCGCAAGCATGCATGCTGCACGTCAGCATGCATAGACACAGCACTGCACCGCGCTACTGCACACACAAGTGCCTCCACGGATGTGACATGGTGCATCTAGGATTGAAGGATGCAAGATGCTCTTGTTTTCAACTTTAAATTCGGGCTTCCTCTGTGCGTTGAAGTGGCTGGTAGTAACCTGCTGGCTTGCTGCCAAGGTTGCTGCCAAGGCTGTGTGGGGTGAAGCAATCAATTCTCCTCACTCTCCAAACCAAAGCATGTGGTTGTCTTTACTTTTCCCCTGCTGTATCAACTGCTAGATAGCTAAACCAAGTGAAAACAGTTTCTACAAGGCAATACAGGTAGAACAAGTGGCGGTTGAAAAAATTTCCTGTGACAGATGCATGATACATGATACATCCTGGAACTAGCAGCACTCTTACAACCTACCAAAAAACAGATACCATATTAACCTGTGCCATTACCCCCCTCACCGTTGCCCAAGCTGCAGCACCGCTTTGGACACAATCCCCGTTGCCTCAATGTATCGCTCCACGCATCGCGTCACACACGTGCTCTCACTGCTGCTTATGGAGGAGCCCGGCTTGGGAATGCACTTGGAAAAGCACTTGTCTCTCACAACCTGGCCCACCATAGCGGGGAGAATCGGGGAAGAAAAGGGGGAAGGGGGAGGGGAAGTGGAGATGGGAAAAGGGGACGGGAAATGGAGGGACGGGGGGGGGGGGGGGGGGGGGGGGGAGGTGGAAGAGATAGGGTGTTTGAGTGAAAACAAGGCGTTGTGGGAGCAGTGGGAAAGAAAGGAGATGGGACGGGAACAAGGGGAAGATCGAAAAGGGGAATGAGTGAGAGCGGGAAGGGAGGTGGTGCCAGAGAAACTAGTGTGAAGCGACGAACAGGGGATCTGAGACTGAGAACGACGGTTTACACGGTTAGCCGTCAAGACACGCTGCACGGCTAGCCGTTGAGATCAGAAACCCCAAGTCGTTCGCGACTTGCTTTTCGAATTCGATCCGACTTGATCCGATCCCACGGATAGAACTTAATCTTGGATCTAAACCTGCTGGAAGTTTCCGAACCTGCTGGGTGTATCCGACCCTGCAGGATGGATCCGAACCTGCTCGTAGGATCCGAACCTGCTGGTGGATCCGAACCTGGGCTTCAGCCAGTATCCAGTACGCTGACGCGCTGCAATCCATCGTGCGTAGGCAGTTGATCGGATCTTAGCTTGAGCGAAGCGGAACCCCTCCGCGTAATGCGGCGCCGTTTGCGGCAATTTCCGAGCCGCCTATTCACTTTCCAGCTGTTTGATCAGAAGTCCTTTCGAGGCGCCTCAGAAGGAACGACGTACGTACCGCGAAGAACTCCTCTGCGTACTGTTGCGCGAGCTGCTGCTTCACTTGATCCATCACCACGTCGTTGCTCGGCATCGATCCCGCGGGACTGCTAGACGGCCCGCCGAAATCCATCGCGCTTTCTCTCCTTCAACCCTCCTCCGATATCGCTTAGTCTTTGATGAATGCACCAACACTACCACCACCGGTTCCTCCGCCTCCCTTTCCCTTGATATGCTGCTCCTCTTGCTCCTCTTTCCTTATCTCCTCTTTCGGCGTATGCCCTTCCCTGCCGTCGATCTCTTTCGAAATCCCAGATGCGCTGCAGATGCTTCCACCACGCGACGATTGCCAAACTGCTGCTCAAAACGCGCTACAGAATCAAGTGCGGAGACGAAAGCGCTAACAAGCACCTGTCAACCAGAAACACCTCGTCTTAGCCCTTGATCGTACTCGTCAATGAGATCTAAAAGAAGCGACAAAACCAAGGCCCTCTGCTGAATATATCCCTGGTCAGAGTGTCGGCCAGGTAAGAAGACGCAGGAGCAATCCACAAGCCACGAAGTGACGGAAACGGCAGACCAAAAAGTGAAAGAGGTCACGTCACGATTCACGGATGAGTGCAGGAATATGAGTATCTGAAGGAGTGGATGGAGAATCCGATGGCGAGAATCCGATGAAGAGGAGGGGGAGGAAGGTGACGAAGTGAGCAGGACGGCGAAGAATTCAGGAGGGCGAAGAACCGATAACAGAAACGAATCTTCGACAGCGCGAAGTGGCGAAATCAGCGTCGACAAATGTTACATCTTCAGACATTACTGCTTACTCACAGTACAAACGGATTTCATGACGACAGAACAGTATCACAAACATGTAAACTTGGGCCTGAAATTGCCAAACCAGGAATTTCTGCCCTTGAAAAAAACAAATCCTTACAGAGAGTGAATGCTACGACAATGCTCAATCACATCATCCACCCTGCTTTCAGGCTCTTCATAGATCGCCTCGTCTACATCTAAACCTCCAGACGCCATCACATCATCCCCAATAACCCCTCGAACAGTGTCAGCTACAGATCCTGCAAGCGCCTTCACATTGTAACCGCCCTCGAGGAAGAAAACTAGGCGGCCGTTACAGTATTGTCGAGCGAGTTGCGAAAGTTGTTGGCCGAGACGGTGGTAGGTGGAGGTGCGGAACTGAAGAGATGCCAGGGGATCTAGATAGTGTGCATCATACCTGCATGGGTTTGTAGAGTAGGTAAGGGGTGGGTGGGGGGAAAAACGGGTAGAAATAACGCAAGAAGCATAACACGAGTTTCGAGGCACACCATAAACACAAGAGCTATGGACGACATGCGAGTTCAGTACTGTCACGACACACTATCAACTCTCCCACTCCATCACCCCTTTTGCCCCTCCTCTACTTCCCCCTCCACTCCCCCTTGCCCCACCTCCCCTATTGATCGACCCAAAACTTCCATTCAACTCTTCCCACACTCACCCAGCGGACACCAGAATAATATCTGGTTTGAACCGTGCTACAGCCGGTGCTACAAGCCGGTCCACAACGGCTGCCATGGCAAGATCTCCCGCCCCTCCGGGCAGCGGAATGTTTATAGTTGTGCCCTCGCCTGCCCCTTGCCCCACCTCATCCAACCGACCCGTGCCAGGATATGTCCCCTCCTGACCAAAGCGTGCACAGCACAACGGCACGGAAAATAGAGGGAGATGGGAAAGAAAGGCAGAACGATGCTTTGGAGGAGTCGAGAGACTTTTCACCAAAAGTATTAAGGGAGCGTAAAGAAAACAAAGAACGGACAACACCGGTACTGTACTTGCTGATTTACCTCTTCCTCAGCCATCAGAGCACAGAAAGAAAGACCTTTCCACGCATAAGTGAGAAAGAGAAGCGCCAGAATAAGGTTACCGGCTTGCAAGCTTCTAGCAGCAGCATCACCACATGTAGCTAAGTACCATGTGGTAACCAGACTGCATGTTGGTTACTGTGTGCACGTATAAAAGCCAGCCTCTGCATTGGATCAAGACAGCACAACACCCGCTGCTGCATGGCAGTGCAGGGTTGTGCTGCTCCCATTCAAGGGAAGCAGGGAGGCGGAACGATGTGCAGGCACGCACGCATGAAGAAGACGACAAGCTCATTGTAAAACAGGTCGTGGGGGCCGGTGACATGGTGCACGTCAAAGTGGAGGATGAACATGGTGCCACGGTGCCGGAGCAGTCCCAACATCCCCTCCCTCCCTCCCCTTCCAACCCCGTCCCCATTACCTGGTGCGTGGACATGAAGAACACGTCCGGATCATTGTAGAACAGGTCGTGCGTGCCGTTGCCATGGTGCACGTCAAAGTCCAATATGAACACGCGCTTGAGCCCCTTGCTCTGCGCGTACCGTGCTGCCACAGCGACGTGGTCCACGAGACAGAAGCCCATGGCGCTTGAATGCACCGCATGGTGCCCGGGCGGGCGCACCAGGGCGAACCCCGCTGGTGGGGCCGCTGTTGGGTTGATCTTCTCTGCTTCTACCTGGGGACGCAGGGATGGGAATTGGCCGGGGGGAAGGAGAACAAGAGGGGCGGAAGGCGGGGGGCAACGGAAGGGAGGAATGGGGAGCAAGAAGAGGTTGGAGAAACCCCAGATGCAGAAGACTAGAGGAGGAGCACAGGTGGTGGCGGTAGCAGCACAAGCAGGTGCAGCGACAGGCAGAGCTGCTGCCACAGCGACGTGGTCCACGAGACAGAGTGTGCCCATGGCGCGTGAGTGCGCCGCGTGGTGCCGAACTAGCCCTGGCGGACTAGAGCGAACCCCGCTGGGCTGGGGGTAGGGCTGCAGGATTGATCTTCTCTGCTTCTACCTGGAGAAAGGGGAAATAGGGGGGACAGCGTGTGGAGAGAAGGGACAGTGCGGAGGAGAGGAAGCAGGGGAGACGGGGACGGGCGGGGAACAGAAGGGGGGAGTAAGGGAGTGGGCAGAGGACAGAGGGACCCCAGATGCGGAAGGAACACAAGAGGAGCACAGACCAAGTAATCCCGCTTGTTGTGAGTCTGACGTGGCTAGCGACCATGAGTTGCAGTGCCACACTTGGAACTCATGACCCATGGCCCATTGCCCATGGCCCATTGCCCATGGCCCATTGCCCATGGCCCATCGCCCATGGCCCATCGCCCATGGCCCATCGCCCATGGCCCATCGCCCATGGCCCATCGCCCATGGCCCATCGCCCATGGCCCATCGCCCATGGCCCATCGCCCATGGCCCATCGCCCATGGCCCATCGCCCATGGCCCATCGCCCATGGCCCATCGCCCATGGCCCATCGCCCATGGCCCATCGCCCATGGCCCATCGCCCATGGCCCATCGCCCATGGCCCATCGCCCATGGCCCATCCCATCGCCCATGGCCCATCGCCCATGGCCCATCGCCCATGGGCCATCGCCCATGGCCCATCCCATCGCCCATGGCCCATCGCCCATGGCCCATCGCCCATGGCCCATCGCCCATGGCCCATCGCCCATGGCCCATCCCATCGCCCATGGCCCATCGCCCATGGCCCATCGCCCATGGCCCATCGCCCATGGCCCATCGCCCATGGCCCATCGCCCATGGCCCATCGCCCATGGGCCATGACACAAGAACCCTGACTTACGAGAGCATCGATGAGTGTGAGGCCCGCACCACATGCACTCAACGTGTCACTGAAGGTCTGCAAAACGGCACTCATGCCATCATGCCATGCCACAGCACGCCATGCCACATACATGATGTAATTCCATACATGCCATGTGTGCCATGCATGCCAAGCCACACCATGTGATAGAACCATCAGGGCGAGCCATCAGTATATACCTGTTGCCATCAGTGCGGAGCACAGCACAGCACAGCACAACACAGCATACCGAACAAGTCAGAGCAACACACAGAAAACGTCAAGGCTACAACACAGAGCCGGGGAAGGTTTTGTGTGCTGGAGCACAGAATAACAACAATATGGAGCGGGAAAGGGGCTGGTAAGAGGAAATTTTCAAAGTAAAAAAAAGTCGGGATATTGAAGTGGCGACATGTTAAATGCAAAAAAAAAAAAAAAAAAAAAAAAAAAAAAACTCCTTTTCTCTCTCCCTCTCCCCTCTCCCTTCGTCTCCTCCCTTGCACCCGCTCCTACCCACTGTCCCTCTTCCCACAGCCTTGCACTCACCGTGACAGTGGCAAAAGTCGGTCCGGAGCCGTCTAGATACACAAGTCCCTCATCTGCTGCTGCTTCCATGGACTGGTGCAGGGGAAGGAATGATGGTGGGGGGAGGGAGCAGGATGGGGCAGAGGAGGAGGAATAAGAGTTTGACACGAATCAGAGCTGGTGAGAGGTCGAAAAGGAAGTTAGGGTGCCTAGAAGCCCTGAGGCAAAAAAATAGGCAGGAAAAAAAGGAAGAAAAAAAGGGAAGAGGAACGGGAAGAGGTGAGGACAGTAGGTGGCATCCATGCCTTGGTGTGGTGGAGGTATGTTGCATGCACAAAATACTACCCGAAATGCCCTTGCGCTCACACCCGTTCCAGCTCGCTCGCTCGCTCTATTCACGGTTCTTCAGTTACAGGTAACCCCCCCCCTCTTCGGCCTCCCTTCCCTCCCAACACACCTGTTCGAAGGCGCGCATGTACTTGGGGCTGTGAACTGCAGAGATGTCGAGGGGCGTGGCCGGGAGGAACGACGAGAGATGTAGCAACTCGCCAGGACGTCCCTGGTGAGAGGCGAGGGCAGAAGCATGGTGTGATGCGGAGTGGTGTGGTGTGACGAGACAGGATGGGATGGGTGGGATATGGGACAGGAACAGGAAGGTGTGGGACGGGGTGGAGAGGGAGGGGACAAAAGGCATGGAGATCAGATAGGGGTAGGATAAGTGCGTTTCAGATTTCTTGAAAGACGAAGTCAAGCACTGCAGTGCAGTGGCAGCGCATTGGAAAACAGCACGTGTACGTCTTCTAAGGCGCCTGATCAACAGCGCAGCGCATGCATTTACGCACGCACCTGTTCTGTGAGTCCAGAGTCTTGCAGTTCCTTAATCACTCCCACCACACGCTCGTTGCTCTCCGGATGGCCCTCCTGGATGGCATGAGTGCCATGCCATGCCATGCCATGTAGCATGCCAAGTGTGATGCGATGCCACGCACCATGACATCACATGGAGCAACGCCACGCACGCACCCAACAGGGTGGGAGGGTCAATCAAGCGGTCACACCAAGGGCAGAAGAACCCACACAAACGATTTTGTACGCGCCTAAAAAAAATCACAAGGCGAGCTCACACAGACGCTGAAAGCACCCTCATACCAACCCGCCGTTTCCTTTTCCCTTTCACCTTTTACATGCTCCACACATGCAACCATCCCCGCCCCTCCTTCCTTCCTTTCTCCCTACTCTCCCAACCCCGCTCCCTTCCCCCCCCCCCGAACTTCTCTTCCCCATCCTTCCCCATCTCCCGCCTCCCTCGTCTCCTCCGCCTCCCCCGGGATCCCGTTTTCGCACCATGTGGTGCCCTTGCGCGGGCTCCGCGGCCCATATGAGCTTCAGTCCGCGCAGAAGCTGCGGGTCGAAGGGGAGAGGGCGCGGGGAGAAGTCGTGGGGTAGCGGGGGAGCGGTGGCATAGGCGGAAGTGGAGGTGGGGGAGAAGGAATCGGAGGAATCAAGCGAGGAGTCGGCGGAAGAGGAGGAGGACGCGGAAACCGCAAGTCGGCGCGCAGGAGGGGAACGGGGCAAGGAAAGGCGGAGGTTTGGCGCTTCACAAAAGAAAGGTACTATCCCTGCAGAGAAGGCCGAGGGAAAAAAGGAAAGAAACCGGGAAGGAGAAGGAAAGAGTGGTAACCGTAAAGAGGGGGAAGAAAGAGGGAAAACGGGATGGGGGGAAGGAGAGGGGTTGGGAAGAAGTTGTATAAGCGAGTGAGAGGACAATGTGAAATTGTATAATACTCCGCTGTGAGAGGTAGTGGCACGTACGCACTCGTGTCAAAATATAAGGACGCGGGAACACCGGTACGATTCCAACGTGCACGAATTCTACGTCAAACAAAATTACAGAAAGGCGAAAGAGAGGGAAAAAAAGACCGAGAAATCATAGAAGAACACGAAGAAAAAAGCGTTATTCGATTGCGCACGCTGCGATCCGCGTAGCAGAAGTCGATGACGAGTCGCAGATGTCACTGGAGCTGCTGCTGTCACCGTTAGCGTCGCCATCGCTGCTCTTACCGGAGCACGAATCACAAATGCCATGAACGCTTCTCAAGGCGCATAAGAAATGTTGGTTTTTTCCTAAGAAAATAAATCGCCGTTTTCTATTCACGCGCTCCCCACAAGATTTGCCGTAGAGCAGCGAGAATGGTGCTCCTAGCCTTGCAGGCGCAAGAGAAGTGAGGGACCCTGCAAGCGCTCCTGCAACTTCCAAATCTCTCATCCAACCTTGTTACGTGCGCAGTACTAGTCTGTGGGGGCTGGGAGGTAAAACATTTGCCCGTTGTCGAAGCGATGAATCTGTTTGACATGCAACAGCAGCCCAGCTCCAGAGCAGACATGCAAGGGGTCATGCATGATAAGATAACGAAACAGAATGCGAACTCAACACAGTATATGGTTCAAACATTTTATGACTGTATACGCTTCTTGCTGGTATGAACAATGGTAGAGAACATTCCATGCCAAGCTAAGTTAACATTTGCTCGGATCCTTGGACAGAATCCTGACTTCACGTGTACCCAGTATAATTGCATCTGCCACTGTTTCTTTTAGGAAGCCTGACCAGACTCATGCAAGCTCACCAAAATCCAGCCCTGGCACGCCCTATGTATCTGTTTCCATCTTGACCGAGCTTCTACACCACTACATTCCCTCACATCATGGAACACCCTGAGGAGCGAGGGGCAGATGGGGGAGGGGCAGCGGCTTGGGAATGGCCTGGAGGTGGTCCGTAGTTGAAATCATGCGCGTCCAAACCATACTGCACAATCAAGAGTGATGAGAAAGAGGAGCGGGGGGAAGGGGGAAAAAGCAGAGGGTTCTGAGACGTCTCAAAGCTTGGGAATGGCCTGGAGGTGGATCGTAGTTGAAATCATGTGCGTCCAAACCATACTGCACAATCAAGAGTGATGGAAAAGGGGAGCGGGGAAAGGGGGGAAAGCAGAGGGGATGTAGGGGAAAGGATTGAAAAACACGGGGAGGCATGAGAAGGGAGAGAGTGAAAGAGGATAATTATCCCGTCCCGTCTGGAAGCGTAAGAAACTACTGGAAAGCGCTAATTCGCAAGGTAAGAAAATCATCTCCATCCACAGCAGCAGCAGCAGCAGCAGCAGCAGCAGCATAAGAATTCCCCAAACAAACACATATGCACACGTGAGCACAAAATGGTGTACACAGCGATGCCCAACCCAACCACATCCAGCCCAACAACACACCTTCTCCAGCAGTCTCTGTCGCCAAGCATCAGTCAGCGGCACATGCGTCTGCCCCGCCGCCCCTACACCTCCTCCCACCACTCCCGAAGCCCCTGCACCATGATACACACCTCCCAGCCCTGCTCCACCACTCCCCACCGCTCCTCCCACCCCAGCCCCCACGGCAGTAGGATAAGCCGGAGCCGTGGGGTAAGCGCCACGATACACAAGTGGTTGACGCAGCCTACCCTGCCCTCCACCTCCTCCTCCTCCTCCGCCTCCTCCGATTCCTACTCCCGCTCCTCCGAATCCTCCTCCTGCTCCTCCTCCCATTCCTCGACCCATGCCTCCTGTGATGTAATCGTCGTCATCCTCTGCCTGGCTCGCATCGTCCTGTGCCGCACGTAGCATCATCGCGACCAGCAGTGCCGCTACCTGATGATGGGGAGGTGGAGGAAAGGGGCGGGAAAGTGGACAGGAGAACAGAAGAGCGGGAGAGTGCAGTGCCGGGTTGAAGGGATGTGGATAGGAGAGACAGGACAGCAACAGGAGGCAATGCAGAAGAAACTCACTTAACGCAAGGACAGACTCGCAGCAGCACATTCCTTTCCAGACGCAATGCAGGAACGCATGCGCTCCACTTTTGCTTTCACATGACGCATACCTCAGTGAGAACAAGGCCAGACATCGGCGAGTTTTGAGTCGACTGAAAACTGGCAAGTCCCACTTTTACTTGCACATGCCACATACCTCAATGAGCACGAGGCCAGCCATTGCCAGCCTGCTTCTGTCTTGGTTCGCCAGGACGTAGCGTTGGTACGTGTCGTACTCGCCTGTCGGGTCGACAGGCACGTCCTGGATGCAGGGAGAAGACGAGGGGGAGGGGAAGTGGAAGAGAGAGAGGGGAAGGGAAAGACAAGGCAAGCGGGAAGAGGTTGGGGGGGTTGGGACGGGGGGAAAGGCTACAGCATGCGGTGTTAGCATTTGTTTTTTTATTTTCTTAGTTTTTTTTCCTTGATGGAGGAAGGTTGCGAGAAGTAAACCAAGTAATCTCGAGTGTGAAAGCCGCATTTTCGATGCAGATCCACAACCCCACCTGTTGCGCAGAATTAACCCCCCTGATGTTGAAGGCTTTCTGAACTCACCTGAGGGCCTTGTGAAGCCATGCCAACCTACCTCAAGCCAAATGAGTGCTGTTGCGACGCACTCGAACAGTATCAGAAGACACAGACCGAACTGATACTGCACGCAGGGGTAATTCAAAGGGGGTCGCGACGGAGTAAGGAGAAGGACACGGAAAGGGAAAAACGGTTGGAGACTGTAAGAACAGGGGAGGCGAGGGTAGGTGCCTGACAGGAATACTAAATGGTGGTGAAATGGAAAAAGGAACAGCGTAAGTGGGAAGAGGGGAAGGGCAGGAAAGAAGGGTGGAGTGGAGTAGGAGGAGGGAAAGGGAATGGAGGGAATGAAAGGGCGAGAGACGGGAGAGGCAGGAGGGTGAACAGGAGGAATCAAATGGGGCGAAAAATGACATAGAAAGAAAAGAGGATGACAAGAGCAGGAGACAATGTGGAGAGAGAGAAGAGCGACGAATGAGAGGAGCAGACTTACGAATGCGAGACAGAACGTGCTGTTGGTCTCCGCGGCTATGGCACCCACTAAAGTCACAAGCGTGAGAAACGCACCCACTCCAATCATGAGGTAGATGAACCTGGGTGGAGCGACGGAACGGATAGATGATCAATAGACTGTGATTTGGTACCGAAACAGGAGAATGGATTGAGAAAAGGCCGTCACATGTGCTGAGTATAAAAGGCGGAAACATAGACGTTGACTTGTAAAAGGGCAAACAGTAATCTCATCCCCTTGATCTCCAGTCATCTCCACCCTGCGAACGGCATTCATCAGGCCCACCAGGCAATCATCGGGCACCACGAACGCCGAGTCAACCTACCAGAATCGCGGTAGCTCGATCTGCGGCGGGGCAGCAACGACCGAAGCACCACCTCCGCTGCTCGCGCCGTCATGTGCGGCAATGCTACTCGCGCCGTCCCGCGTGTCGATTTCGAGAAGGGACACGCCTCGCTCAGCACCCAACGCCGCGGCGAGTTTCCGCGTGGCCGCGAATGTCTGCCTTGACGCCACGCTCTGCAGGATCGTTTCTTCGGAAATTAGACCGTTTGCGGAAGCAGGACCCGGCGCGGGAGCAGGTGGAGACGGTGGCGGAGATTGCGGAGGGGGAGGCGGAGAGTGGAGAGGCGGAGGGGGGGAGTGACGAGGAGGAGGCGGAGAGTGAAGTGGGGGAGGGGGAGAAGTGGGGGGAGTGAGCGGAGGCGGAGAAGGGGGAAGGAGCGGAGGGGGTGCTGGAGGGGGGAAGATGTCCGGATCTAGACGAAGGAGACGGGAAATGGAGAAGACGAGGAGGAGCACGCCGACGAGCGCGAGCGCGAGGTTGAAGAGCTTCAATAAGCACTGCAGAAATCCACGACACGCCATGGCTGCTACCGCTGCCGCTGCTGCTGATGATGCTGCTCAGTCGGCTATCGAGACGACGCTGAAAAAGAAGCACGCGATCTGGAGAAAATGGGTGTGGAAGAAACAGCGGACTTATGCACTTGGTTACGGTTAGAACCCAGCTCAGATCGGCGGTGCTACTGTAACGGATAACACTTTTCAAGCAAGCGGATGAAGCGCTTCAACTCTGTAGAGGCTCACTCTAACTAACGGGCGCTGAAGCGTAATATCAGGAGGTCACTGGACCTACTGAAACTGGCTTAGGTATAACTAGGTCACGGCTTATCAGTCGTCGCTGTTCGCACAAGGTTTGTCCGACGGTATTCCGGCCGCACGGGAAGATTGGCTCTGCTGATTGGCGCTTGATGGTTTCCTACCGCCAACAGCACTGCAGTAACTAGTCGCAGACGGTTGGCGACGCCCCAGGGCTTGGCGAAAGTCGTTTTCGTCGTGTATTGCGCAAGTCGCACGATGCTGCGACAAGGAGGCGAGATCCTTCGCTAGCCTGAAACGTGCCACGAAATCTTCAAAATATGCCCTTGAAGCTGCAAGGAGCGAGTGTACTTGAGCCGTATAGTAATTTACCACCAAAATTAGTTAGATGTTCTTCCACAAACCTGACACATGTACCTGCATGGAAACGTATAAATGATTTAATTTTTGTCATGAAGTGTTCTTAATATTGAAAAATTGTGGTTGTTTATTCTGGGGGTATTTTTTAGAGTGACGTTAACAGTATGAATCCTAAATTAAAATCTGAAGGGGAATATATTTTTATCTTCCACACCCATTATTTGGTACATAAAATGATTCAGGCTAGTCTAGAGGAGCAAAATATGAGATGTGATCGTGCACAATGGAGGCAAATGAAGCATTGGCAGCTGGAAGAATCAATATTGAGAGAAGGTAGTACATCTGGAACTTTGCTGGTGTACATGATTTCACGCGGCTCAATAATGGGAAATCCGAGAACACTCAGCACGGGTGGAGGTGTGAGTGTGTGCGTGAAGACCGCGGACGACAGCATTCACCCCCTAAACCCGCCGCTAGTTTTTCAGAAGCACCCAAGTTTCAGCTGAAGCAACGCTTGCAGCCTAGGAGTGGCTTTAAAACCGGAGTCCCTAACAGCCCGAAACTGCCTCAACCTTCCTAACTTCGGTTGGGTGTGGCCCAGTTGATACCGAGCTCTCCTCGCAAATTGTTGGGACGATTTCGCCAAGCGAAATTACTGTTCAAGTGAGGACGATAGCGGTGACAACTTCGCAAACACATTTGCAGCCCGTCCGAAACAGTCAGCGAACGAGTTCTGACGTAGCATTCCAGATCTGGTTACACTCGCGACTTTTTCTTACTTAGCGACCCGCTACCACTGATTTCGACACCACCCTGGCTCGCGAGCCAGTCACCTTTCTCTCCCCTTTCAACCTTCCTAACTTAGAAACTCTTGGACCTCCGGTTTTAAACGATTCTTGCCACGCTTGCCACGCTCAGGCGTCAGCTGACAGAAATTCGCCATGGAGGATCGGTGAGACATGCTATATTCGCGGACAAATGGTAGAATTTATGGCAGACAGTATTCACATGTCTGGGTCCTGTCCTGTCGAGTGCGAAATTAAGATAAATAGTTTTCTACGTTAGAATCTTGCGTTCAACGCGTCGTCCGCTTCCTCTCACCACGTCCCGTATGCGTAGGTTCAACACACCTACTACTAACGTCATAGAGCTCGAGGCCATGGGACATCGACTCCGGGTTACCCAGGTAAATTCACGAGGATAGTTCAGGCTAATTCCAAGGTTTGTTCAGGCAAAGTCTCAGGGTAATGTTTATAAGAAGCCCAGAAAACCTAAAAGTGCGTTTATCCACCCCAATCCTCCTCACGAACTCACAATCACCGTCCGCCCTTCCCGAATTTCTCCGAACCCTTCCACCCTCCTCCCCAAGCTCCTCTCCTTTTCCCACCGCCTCTTCCTCTCCCTCTCGCTCCCTTTCTCCACCTCCCTTTCCCCCGTCCTCTTCCCCTTCGCTTTCTCCTGCACCAGGACCCCAATTCCAAGCACGTGGGCACGACTGTGTGGGACTCCAGCATTGTCGTCCTCAAGTACCTGGTCCGCTCTCCCCACTCCACTTCCCTGCACTCCATGTCTTAGGCACCTCAAACCTCCATGTTTGAGGCGCCTGAAACCTAAACCTCTAACCTTCAACCTGAACCTCGAAAAATCGTCTCCACGCACGTGGGCGCGACAGTGTGGGTCGCCACGCCAGCATTGTCATCCTCCTCGAATGCCTGTCCGTTCTCCGTTCTCTCTGCACCCAGCTGAACTTGAACCTTCCTTTCTTACCCCCCCCCCCCCCCCCTCAAACCCTACATTCCATTCCCTCCCTCCGGCCCTCATTCTCACCTACTTGCGTGCCGGTTTCCTTGGTCTTGCTCAATCCCCCAAATCTGCCTCACTTCACAGCACTACACTACACACAGTCTCTGCTTTCCCTCCCCCTCCTCTCCCTACTCCCCCCTCACGTCCTCTCCCTTCCGGCACGACCACAGGAGCGGCACAGTAACAAGGGGGAGTTTTCCCGGGCAAAGCTCAAGGGCAAGCGGGCCATAGAGCTGGGGGCTGGCTGTGGCCTCGCTGGCTTGGGTGAGCTTGCATGCGAGGTGCTGTGAGGTGTGTTGTGGTGTGGCGTGGTGTGGCGTGGTGTGGCTTGATGCGCCTATAGGAGGCACAGCAACAAGGGGGGGTTCTCCCGGGCGAAGCTCAAGGGCAAGCGGGCCATAGAGCTGGGGGCTGGCTGCGTCCTCGCTGGCTTGGGTGAGCTTGCACGCGAGGTGCTTGGTGTGCCGTGCTATGGCGTGGCGTGGCGTGGCGTGGCGTGGCGTGGCGTGGCGTGGCGTGGCGTGGCATGGTGTGGCGTGGCGTGGCGTGGCGTGGTGTGTTCTGTCTTGAGTTCAAAAAGGTTGGAGTTTTTTTTCAAGGGCCCTTTTTCTAGTCCACTTGAGAATCACTCTCTAAGCTCAAGGGCAAGCGGGCCACCCCCCCTCATCATGGCAGGGTTTGCGCTGCTGGGGTGTGACGTGGTTCTGACAGACGAGGCGTTGGTGCTGCCTCTGCTGTTCACGCCTCAATCGCACCAATTGATATAACCGCCACAACCCCCCTCATCATGGCAGGGTTTGCGCTGCTGGGGTGTGACGTGGTGCTAACAGACGAGGCGCTGGTGCTGCCTCTGCTGTTCACACAGCAGCAATCGCACTGTTTTTACTCTTTTATAAAACGGCCACACCCCCCCTCATCATGGCAGGGTTTGCGCTGCTGGGGTGTGACGTGGTGCTGACAGACGAGGCGTTGGTGCTGCCTCTGCTGTTCCGCAACGTTACCCGCCTGCAGTCCCAGGCCGCCATGGACGCTGCTGCTGACTCCTTCCTCGGTGCGTGCTGTGCCGTGACTGTAATGTGCGCTGGGACCCAGCGGCTGGGTGGGCAGGTGGGTGGGAAGGTGGTTGGTGTTGGGTGCTGGGTAGTGGTTGGATGGATGGTGGGTGGTGGCTGGATGCCCAGTTTTGGAAGGTGGGTGGTGGTTGGATGGGTGGAATGTGGATGGTGGATGGTGGAGGATGAGTGGTGGATGGTGAATGGAGTTAGTTTTGGAGATTTTTTACAGACCGGATTGTGGGTGGAAGTGTACGGCGTCTCTACTTGCTAGTGCAGTGCACCACTCATCCCTTATGACGTGTGTTTGCATGTGTGTGTGCATGTGTTTGCGCGTGTGCGTGCGTGCTTGGGCGTGCATGTGTGCATGTGTGTGTGTGTGTGTGTGTGTGTGTGTGTGTGTGTGTGTGTGTGTGTGTGTGCATGCATATGTATATCCGGGCAGGCAGTGTGGGATCAGTGGAGGTAGCAGAGCTATGGTGGGGCAACGCACATCACATAGCCCAAGCCGGCCCGCCTTTTGATGCCATCGTTGCCACTGACGTGGTCAGTCCCTCCCTTATCTCCTCCCATTTATGAGTCCACTCAAAAACAGGCTCATCACACGCCATCGTTGCCACTGGCGTGGTCAGTATCTCCCTTCCCTCCTCCCATTTTCCCTTCCCCTGTCCCCGGCCCCCCCTGTCCCCGCCCACCCCCACCCCTCCCTCGCCCCCCACCTGTTCCCCTTTCCTTCTCTTTCTCCCTCCCTTTCTTTTCTTTACCCTTTCGCTAGGCTCATCCTGCTATACTCTCTCTTCCACTTCTCCATACCTCCTCCCTCCTGTGCTTGCACCTGACATTCCCCCTCATGTTCACCTTTGCGTTTCTCCATATGTTTATCCGCTTGTTTACCCATGAATCCACCCACGTGCCCATACACCCACGTGCCCATCCACACCAGGTGTATGTAGAAGACTCTGTCCCGGCTCTCCTCGCAACCATGCTTGCTCTCTCCCATCCCCGCACTCCCATTCTCGTAAGCTCCTAACTTCCCTGCTCCGCCCCTTCGCTTTTAATTCTCGAAACCCACGTCGTCCCAGCACTCTACCCTGCAGCTGAATCTTCGCACCACTATGTAATGCTCCCGCTGAAGTCTTTCTGCCGCACATCACGGTATCAGATGCCCATCGACCTCTCTTTTCCGTCCTCATTTCACCATTCGCCCTCCTCCCACTTCTCCCTTCACTCCTTCCCCTCCACTCTTCTCTCACCGTCCGTCCACCTCTCTCGCCTTCCGTTTCTTCCCCGTGCATTGAGGTGTATTTTGAGGCTCCTCAAAATACTCCTCTTCTCCCTTCACTCCTTCCCCTCCACTCTTCTCTCACCGTCCACCTCTCTCGCCTTCCGTTTCTTCCCCTTTCACACACCCAAATGCCTCTTCCGTGCGTCTGTGCAGCTTGGGTATGAGTTCCGCTCGGCCACAGTGCATGACCGCCTGCACGCATACGCGAAGCAGATGTTTGACGTCAAGAAGGTCCCTGCTACCAAGGTCAGCCTTGAAAGCCTCGAGCCTGTCTTGTCACTCTTCATGTCTCCCCCCTAACCTGTGTGTTTTGAGTCGACTCGAAACACGCCAAGCAGATGTTTGACGTCAAGAAGGTCCCTGCTACCAAGGTCAGCCTTAAGAGGCTCGAGTTTTTCTCGTCGTCGCTCTTCTGATCTCCCTCTCCCCCCCCTTCCTTCCTCGCATTACTAAAATCTAGTATTCCCCTGATTTCAAGCTTTCTTCTTTAACTTGCTTATCTCTGTCTCTCTCTGTACACTAATTTTTTATCCTGTTCTGAAGAATGTTCTGTGGCCACCTTTTGTGTGCTTGTGTGCATGTGGATGTGTCCTCAGCTCCATGCAGAGTACCAACACCCGTCCATCGATGTGTTCATCATGAAACGCAAGGCCGCGCCCACACTGCCTGTATGTGCCTTCCTTACTGCCTTTCTGCAATCAACCCACTGTGCCTGCACTTCCTGCACTGCCCGCACTGCGTTTTGCTGCAACTGCCGAGACTGTCAAGATTGCCAATACTGCACACTTACCTCACTGCGACTGCGTCATCATGTTTTGTAGCACTGACCTCCTGTGTCCCCATTTATCTATACATTGCAGACCTCATTCGCTTACATGGCCACCCACCCTCTTTCTATTGCCTTTTAACAAGCACCAGAATCTCTTTGACTCTCATTCGTCACTGCCCCTCCCGCCCCTAACTTTCCCCCTCTTCCTCTCTCCGCTAACTTTTGTGCCGTCCAGCCTGAAGTGAGAACGATTCTTGAAGAGGTGCAATTCATGATGACGAATCAGGGCCTGCCATGTGTCCACATCACCAGCCTTCTAGACAGCACAGCAAAACCAGGAGAATCCCCTAGCAAACAACATCCAGAGCAAGGGGACAAGGAAGAAGTTCCCGAGGAGGTTGTAGGGAAGAGAGATAGTTCGCAAGAGGAAACAACGGAAGAGGAAGACGAGGAGGGGAGGAACGGAGGAGGGGAGAGTGAGGGAGACGGTGTGTTTGCTCGTCCGTCAGTGGACGAGTTTTTCCCAAGCCCGTGCGGCCAAGATGACCAGATATTTGCTCGCAAGGTTCACCAGGAGACGCTTGCAAGACGAGGAGAGAGTGAGGGGGGGGCGTTGCCATCGAGTCAAGAAAATGGGAGTGAGGAGTGGGAAGAGCGGAGATCAGGAGCCATGGCTGCAAGATTACTTGCGGATGTGAAGGTCCCGTCCGGTTCCAGTGGGTGACAGGTTTTTGAATTCTCTATTTTTATTCTCTCGTAGAATCTCTCCATGGCATTGTTGCCCATTCTATCAACTTCAGGATTCTTTGTTGGAGTTAAAAGCTTATATATTTCGAATTCTCCTTTAACAGTGAAACTTCAATTCTTCCCGGGGTGTACTGCTTCTAAACGAAGCAGATTGAAACCGATACTTTCCGCTGAAAAGCCAGCACAGTTCGCGGCCGAATCGATGATTGTTGGCGCAATGAGTGGCACCAGCAAGCCACACAACGCGCGGCAATCTCGAGAAACACCAGCAGCAGGGCAGTAGGAGGAGCAGGAGACGTTGAGGCTCGACCGTCTGCCACGACCAGTGTGCCTAAGGCTGAGAAGAGTCGAGGCTTTACACATGCTAGATTGTTAGGACCTTTCACTGTCCAAAGTGAACGACTGAAGAGGACAAACTCTCATTAGCCCAAAGAAGAGCCGCTTGTCCTCTAATAAGTCTGCCGTCGCTTCGATTTCTTTTCTTCTGTTGATGTGTTGAGCTCGCGGCGATGGCCGGGCCAGCAGCCAGCCACGTCAGCGTAAGCGAATTGCGCGAAGCGACGGGCGAGGAAAAAGCGACGACGCCACTCGCTGACGAGCCTTCGTCGTCGTACAGGCCGCTGGAGGAGCCTCTGCTTCGGCATTCCCAAGGGCGCAACGCGGAAGGAGGACTGCGGGGAGAGCAGCAGCAGCAGCAGCAGCAGTATCAGGGCCTCTTGCCGACTCTCCTGTGGTGCTGCTTCGCGTGTCTTGGCGCCTTCTCTTTCGGATATGCGGTGAGGGGGATGAATGGCGGAGGGACGGAGAGAGAGAGAAAGCGAGCAGGGGAGATGGGCTTTACCTCACGCGTTCTTCGCTCCCCGAGATGGGGGTTAGGCCTCCCAATTCCTCCCCTCGTTCTCCGCGGATCCGCCCCTCACGTTATCATTTCCCCTTTTCTCTTCTCCGCCTCCCCCCCCCCCCACCCCCTCCCCTCTCACGTTGACATATCTTTCTCGGTCTCTTGCTCCCCTTCCCCTTTCCCCCTTACCTCCCAATCCCTTTCTTCCCTCAACCTCCCCATTCCCCCGTTTCCCCCGCCTCCCATTCCCCCTCCCCCGCTCCCGCCCCCCTTTCCTCTCCGCTCCCCACCCCCGCAGGTGGGCTACACCTCCCCCGCGCTCGCCTCTCTCTCCGCGGACCTGCGCCTGCCCCCCGCGCTCGCGTCGCTCTTCTCCTCGCTCATAACAGTGGGCGCAATGCTGGGGGCGGTGGGTGCGGGGGCAGTGGCGGAAGGGGTGGGGCGCAGGGGGGCGCTGGCGCTGGCTGCGCTGCTGCTGGCGGCGGGATGGGGGGGAATAGCCTTGGCGCAGGTAGGAAGCAGTGGTGATGCCATTCTTTCTTTCTTTTCTCTCTTTTTTTTTTTTCATCTTCTTTCTTCTGTGACCCAGAGGTATAGCCTTGCCACAGTTCTTCTGCTGCACACATGCACATGCATATAGTCACTTCACCATTCAGTCATTTACCCATACAGTCACTCATTGTCGAACCCTGAAACAGTGAAAGTGCTCCTTGCTTCTCCCTCCTCCCTTCCCCCCGTCCTTTTCCTTCCTCCCCCTCCACACTCCCCCCAACTCCCCTCTTCCCCCCCGCACCAGTCGCTGCCTCTCCTCCTCTCCTCTCGGGTAATCAATGGCCTGGGTGTGGGCCTCGCTTCCTACGTGGTAAGCCTCCGCTTGGCGTAGACCCTCTTGGCTGCATTCTGGTTCGTGGTATTGTGCATGGCATCACGCATGGCATCAAGCATGGCATCAAGCATGGCATCACGCATGGCATCACGCATGGCATCACGCATGGCATCACGGATGGCATCATGCATGGCAGCATGCATGGCATCATGCATGGCATCATGCATGGCATCAAGCATGGCATCACGCATGGCATCACGCATGGCATCAAGCATGGCATCAAGCATGGCATCACGCATGGCATCACGCATGGCATCACGCATGGCATCACACATGGCATCAAGCATGGCATCAAGCATGGCACGCATGGCATCAAGCATGGCATCACGCATGGCATCACGCATGGCATCACGCATGGCATCACGCATGGCATCAAGCATGGCATCAAGCATGGCACGCATGGCATCAAGCATGGCATCACGCATGGCATCACGCATGGCATCACGCATGGCATCAAGCATGGCATCAAGCATGGCATCAAGCATGGCATCACGCATGGCATCACGCATGGCATCAAGCATGGCATCACGCATGGCATCACGCATGGCATCACGCATGGCATCACGCATGGCATCACGCATGGCATCAAGCATGGCATCAAGCATGGCATCACGCATGGCATCACGCATGGCATCAAGCATGGCATCACGCATGGCATCACGCATGGCATCACGCATGGCATCACACATGGCATCAAGCATGGCATCAAGCATGGCACGCATGGCATCAAGCATGGCATCACGCATGGCATCACGCATGGCATCACGCATGGCATCACGCATGGCATCAAGCATGGCATCAAGCATGGCACGCATGGCATCAAGCATGGCATCACGCATGGCATCACGCATGGCATCACGCATGGCATCAAGCATGGCATCAAGCATGGCATCATGCATGGCATCATGCATGGCATCAAGCATGGCATCAAGCATGGCACGCATGGCATCAAGCATGGCATCACGCATGGCATCACGCATGGCATCACGCATGGCATCAAGCATGGCATCAAGCATGGCATCACGCATGGCATCATGCATGGCATCATGCATGGCATCATGCATGGCATCATGCATGGCATCAAGCATGGCATCACGCATGGCATCACGCATGGCATCAAGCATGGCATCAAGCATGGCATCACGCATGGCATCACGCATGGCATCACGCATGGCATCACGCATGGCATCACGCATGGCATCACGCATGGCATCAAGCATGGCATCAAGCATGGCATCAAGCATGGCACGCATGGCATCACGCATGGCATCACGCATGGCATCACGCATGGCATCACGCATGGCATCACGCATGGCATCACGCATGGCATCACGCGTGGCATCACGCATGGCGTCACGCATGGCATCACGCATGGCATCACGCATGGCATCACGCATGGCATCACGCATGGCATCACGCATGGCATCAAGCATGGCATCACGCATGGCATCACGCATGGCATCACGCATGGCATCACGCATGGCATCAAGCATGGCATCAAGCATGGCATCAGGCATGGCATAACGCATGGCATCACGCATGGCATCACGCATGGCATCACGCGTGGCATCACGCATGGCGTCACGCATGGCATCACGCATGGCATCACGCATGGCATCAAGCATGGCATCAAGCATGGCATCAAGCATGGCATCACGCATGGCATCACGCATGGCATCACGCATGGCATCACACATGGCATCAAGCATGGCATCAAGCATGGCACGCATGGCATCAAGCATGGCATCACGCATGGCATCACGCATGGCATCACGCATGGCATCAAGCATGGCATCAAGCATGGCACGCATGGCATCAAGCATGGCATCACGCATGGCATCAAGCATGGCATCACGCATGGCATCACGCATGGCATCACGCATGGCATCAAGCATGGCATCAAGCATGGCATCATGCATGGCATCATGCATGGCATCAAGCATGGCATCAAGCATGGCACGCATGGCATCAAGCATGGCATCACGCATGGCATCACGCATGGCATCACGCATGGCATCAAGCATGGCATCAAGCATGGCATCACGCATGGCATCATGCATGGCATCATGCATGGCATCATGCATGGCATCATGCATGGCATCAAGCATGGCATCACGCATGGCATCACGCATGGCATCACGCATGGCATCACGCATGGCATCAAGCATGGCATCAAGCATGGCACGCATGGCATCAAGCATGGCATCACGCATGGCATCACGCATGGCATCACGCATGGCATCAAGCATGGCATCAAGCATGGCATCACGCATGGCATCATGCATGGCATCATGCATGGCATCATGCATGGCATCATGCATGGCATCAAGCATGGCATCACGCATGGCATCACGCATGGCATCACGCATGGCATCAAGCATGGCATCAAGCATGGCACGCATGGCATCAAGCATGGCATCACGCATGGCATCACGCATGGCATCACGCATGGCATCACGCATGGCATCAAGCATGGCATCAAGCATGGCACGCATGGCATCAAGCATGGCATCAAGCATGGCATCAAGCATGGCACGCATGGCATCAAGCATGGCATCACGCATGGCATCACGCATGGCATCACGCATGGCATCAAGCATGGCATCAAGCATGGCATCACGCATGGCATCACGCATGGCATCACGCATGGCATCACACATGGCATCAAGCATGGCATCACGCATGGCATCACGCATGGCATCACGCATGGCATCACGCATGGCATCACGCATGGCATCACGCATGGCATCACGCATGGCATCAAGCATGGCATCAAGCATGGCATCACGCATGGCATCACGCATGGCATCAAGCATGGCATCACGCATGGCATCACGCATGGCATCACGCATGGCATCACGCATGGCATCACGCATGGCATCAAGCATGGCATCACGCATGGCATCACGCGTGGCATCACGCATGGCGTCACGCATGGCATCACGCATGGCATCATGCATGGCATCAAGCATGGCATCATGCATGGCATCATGCATGGCATCACGCATGGCATCACGCATGGCATCAAGCATGGCATCACGCATGGCATCACGCATGGCATCACGCATGGCATCAAGCATGGCATCATGCATGGCATCATGCATGGCATCAAGCATGGCATCAAGCATGGCACGCATGGCATCAAGCATGGCATCACGCATGGCATCACGCATGGCATCACGCATGGCATCAAGCATGGCATCAAGCATGGCATCACGCATGGCATCATGCATGGCATCATGCATGGCATCATGCATGGCATCATGCATGGCATCAAGCATGGCATCACGCATGGCATCACGCATGGCATCACGCATGGCATCACGCATGGCATCAAGCATGGCATCAAGCATGGCATCAAGCATGGCATCACGCATGGCATCACGCATGGCATCACGCATGGCATCACGCATGGCATCAAGCATGGCATCAAGCATGGCACGCATGGCAGCAAGCATGGCATCAAGCATGGCATCAAGCATGGCACGCATGGCATCAAGCATGGCATCACGCATGGCATCACGCATGGCATCACGCATGGCATCAAGCATGGCATCACGCATGGCATCACGCATGGCATCCCGCATGGCATCACGCATGGCATCAAGCATGGCATCAAGCATGGCACGCATGGCATCAAGCATGGCATCACGCATGGCATCACGCATGGCATCACGCATGGCATCACGCATGGCATCACGCATGGCATCACGCATGGCATCACGCATGGCATCACGCATGGCATCACGCATGGCATCATGCATGGCATCATGCATGGTGGTTCGTTCTGTTTCGGCTGAAAGGTACCTGGTCTCCCCCCTGCCACACCCCCACCACCATCCCCCTCGTGCCAGTGAACATAGCAGAGGTGGGCCCCCACGCATGGTAGGGCACACGCTGGCCTTTGAGTCGGCTTGAGAGTGTCCTGTCTTCCCTTGGCCTGTTTCCCTCCTGCCTGTTCTCCCTCTTCCACCGCGTCCCCCTCCCCCACCCCCCCATCAGGTGCCAGTGTACATAGCGGAGGTGGCCCCCCATGGAGGGGCGCGTTGAGTCGACTAGAGCGTAACCTGTCTCCACCGCGCCTGTGTCCCCTCCCCCCCTCCCCCACCCCCCCCACCAGGTGCCAGTGTACATAGCGGAGGTGGCCCCGCACGCATGGAGGGGCGCGTTGGGGAGTCTGAACCAGCTGGCAATCACGGTGGGCATGCTCGGAGTCTACTCTGCCGGCCTTGCTCTCCCCTGGCGTCCCCTCGCTACTCTCGGTCTGTCGTTCGCTCGCTTGCTCCCTTTAATTTTTTAGGCGCCTCAAAACTTTTTGAGTCTACTTTAGGTGCTTGACAAATAGGCTCTTGGTCAGTCGGTTGCTTGCTTGCTCGCTTGTTCCCTCCTCCGTCTCCACTTCTCGCTCTCTTGCTGCCTGCCCTTCTTCACTCATTCAGGTCGCCCCCCTCATTGCACGTCGTCTCCCCTCTTCCCCACCACATCCCGCATTTCCCCCCTTCCTTCTCATCCCACACACCCTCCCCGCCCCCTTATCCCATGCCTTCCCAACTCCTCTCCACCATCCCAACTCCTTCGCGACCAGGAGCGCTGCCAGCTGTCGCTCTCCTATTGGGCGTGGCAGCAGCGCCGGAGAGCCCTAGGTGGCTGGCCAGGCGGGGAGCGGGGCGAGGGGAGGTGCTGCGGGTGCTGCTGCGTCTGAGGGGTGTGCGTGCTGCTGCTGATGCTGCTGATGCTGCTGCTGCTGATGCTGCTGATGCTGCTGCTGCTGATGCTGCTGACGCTGCTGCTGCTGATGCTGCTGCTGCTGCTGCTGCTGTTGGTGGTGGTGTTGGTGCTGCTGGTATTGTTAGTAGCAGTTGTAGTCCTGCTGCTGCTGCTGCAGTGGCAGCTGAGTGTGAGGAGATATTGCAAGGCGTGCAACAGGAGAAAGGGGGCGAGGAGACAGGAGAAGGCTGGGAGAGGGAGGGCGGGAGCGGCAGTGGTGAAGCAGAGCAGGAAGGAGTGGTGGAGAGTGGTGGAGTGGGAATGAGAGCTGTGGGAGGAGGTAAAAAGGGAGCTGGTAGCAAGGGCGTGTGGGACTTGTCAAAGGAGCTGCTGTTTGGACATGCCAGAAGACCGTTTGCGGTATGCTGGAGGGGGAATGAATGCGCCCTGGAGGGGGATGGACATGACGTGGGGTGGGGGAATGCTGACATTGTTATGAGTGGCCTATGGACTTGTGTGCATGGTTAGCATTTCTTTTTGAAGTAATGGATGTTTCTCCTATTCCACTCGAGTCCTCTCCTTTCCATCCACACCCTCCACACACCCCAGAGCCCACACAACCCCCACACTCCCCTTTGAGTCGACTCAAAAGGAGGTGACTTTTGAGTCGACTCAGAACGAGGTGACTTTTGAGTCGACTCAAAACGAGGTGACTTTTGAGTCGACTCAAAGCGAGGTGACTTTTGAGTCGACTCAAAACGAGGTGACTTTTGAGCCGACTCAAAACGAGGTGACTTTTGAGTCGACTCAAAACGAGGTGACTTTTGAGCCGACTCAAAACGAGGTGACTTTTGAGCCGACTCAAAACGAGGTGACTTTTGAGCCGACTCAAAAGTCTCCTTTCCCCCCACATCCTCCGCCCACCCCAGAGCCCTCACAACCTCCACACTCGCCTGATCCTCAAACTGCCAGCTGTGCCGCTTTTGAGAGTTCTCAAAAGCAAGCGACTCAGGTGGATTTGATGGTGCTGCTGTAGCATGCGGGCATCCCTTCTCATTATTCTCTACGTCGCACTAGCTTCCCACATCCCTTCGACACCCCTCCCACGTCCTCCCCTCCCCAATACCCTCGTCGTCATCACCAGCTGACAGCTGTGCATGGGCCTGGCTGATGGTGCTGCAGCAGCAGTGTGCAAGCATCATGTTTCTGAGCATTCTTAATGACTGACGCATGAACCCCCCCCACACCCCCCTGACCCTCGTCATCACCAGCTGTGCGTGGGGCTGATGGTGCTGCAGCAGTGTGCGGGCATCAACGCCATTGTCTTCTTTGCAGCGGCCATCTTCCGCAACGCAGGCTTCACCAACCCCAACCTCCCCAGCTTCGGAATCGCTGCCGTGCAGGTAGGACTTTTGAGACGTCTCAAAAGGCTTCGGAATCGCTGTTATGCAGGTACAGCGGAGGGACTGGGTATCAGACTTTGGTAACTAATTAGTGGGCCAGTCTAGTACCATATCATCGCTGCGCCATGCCACCCTGTCTTGCTCATGCCCCTTTTGCGTCATCTCCCTTTCCCCACCTTCCCCCATCCATTCCTCCGCACAGGTCCTTTTCACGGTCTGCTCAGCGCTCCTCCTGGACAGGGCGGGTCGTCGCGTGCTGCTGCTCCTCTCTTCCTCCGGCATGGCCCTCTCCTGCCTCCTCCTCGGCCTCTCCTTCTACCTTCCACACGCGCACCTCCCCTTCCTCCCCGCCTCCTCCGCTCCCCTCCTGGCCTTCTCTGGCTGCATGGCGTACATTGTCTTCTACTCCATGGGCATGGGCGGCATTCCTTGGATTATCATGTCCGAGGTGAGTCAGCGCGAGGAGACAATGGAGCATGGAAAAGGTGCGATCTCTCTCTCTCTCAAATGGTCCTTTTGTATTAATTCAGCAGGGGGAAAAGACATGCAATTTGACTCGTGGTTCCCTTATACCTTCCGACCCATCAACCCATCCCTCTGACCCTCCCCCCCCTCCCCTTAGTGCCCCTCTAACCCTCCATCTCTCTCAAATGGTCCGTTGTATTAATTCAGCAGGGGTACAGGCATGCAGTTCTATCCATGATAACCTCAATCCCATAAGCCCATCAACTCACCCCTCTTCCCCTCCCCTCCCCCCTGAGTGACCCTCTAGCCCTCCAGCGTGTGGAGGATGTCCCCCAGGTGCAGCGGCCAGGGGTCCGCTGCCATCTGGGGGTGTGCTGCCTCAATCCCAGCCCTGGCCTTGGTATGCAGGGCGTTCGCCTGGGAGCGCTGGAGGGCCACTGACCAGCGCTGGCTGAAGTGGCAGGCCATCTTCTTGGCGGATTTCGCCAAGGGGCTGGCCCTGAAGCGGTTCCTAGCTGCTGCTGTGGCCAGCAGTTTCAGGAACGCCGTTGTGGGGGGCGCGTTTGCCCCATAGGTCTCGACGGCCAGGGCGCAGAACACCACGTGTTCGGTGTGCCTGTAGTAGTCCCTCTCCTTCCGCCTCTGTGCCTCCCTTGCAGCCCAGCCTGGGGGTTTGCGGGCTGTGGGGTCCCGGTTCTGTAGCACAGGGTCGGTGATAGTCGTGTCTGTGATCCAAGTCTCTCCACTGTCTGGGTCACGCACGATCACATCGGCCTTCTTCGGGTCATCCGGTGGTGAGTACATTGCATTCTCCAGGTATACCACCAGCTGCGCCTCCCTCGCCATTTTTGCCACGGCAAAGGCCAGCTGATTGTGTGTGCGCGTTCTGTCCGGGCCTGTGCTGCAGCGGAGTAGGTGGTTGGGTAGGCTGCAGTCGGCCACGAGCTCTCCACACTCGCACACGGTAGGTACGTTCTGTCGGATGCCCATGCGGAAGGCCAGGGCTGTTCGGAATTGCCCAGGTGAGAAGCAGAGGTCTGGGGTCAGGGGTAGGGCTTGCAGCCATGCTCCCGCTCCCTCGCCTCTCAGGCTGACGAGGCGGAGCGTGTGGCCCATCTCGGGGGCTGACCTGATTGAGCGTGATTCCTCTGTCAGGGTGTCAGCCTTTGCCGCGTGCACTTCCTGAGAGAGGGCCCGCTGCAGCTGGTCTTGGGACGGGGTTTCTTGCTCCTCACGGAGGTATTGCAGCGCCAGCGGCGGCAGTCGTCCCTCCATGTCTTGGATGGTGACCGAGTGTGCCGCAGACGGCTGCAGGGCGTTGCTGTTGCTCCCTAGCGCCGCGGTTGCTGGCAGGTCGAGTGAGCGGAGCAGGCGTAGTGCCTCTGTCGTTGAGGCCAGGTAGGCTGGTGCTGCTTCTGTTGTGGGATCCGTGAGGCCTAGTCCACCTAGGGCCACTGGGAGGGTTGCTTGGCGGATGAGAAAATTGAACTCGGCTTCGCGGCGGGGTGGTTGGATGCTGGCGGTAGTCAGGGCGGTGTTGAGCAGTTCGGCGCACCACGCGTGCCATTCCGAGAGGGGAAGGACATCCGCTGGGGTGGCGCGCAGCAAGTAGCCGATTCTGCGGCTGATGCAGCAGGACAGGAGCAGGAGGGCATGCTGTGGATGGATGGATGCTAGGGAGCCCAGGGGTTCCGCCGCGTCTTTCAGAGTACTGCGGACCACGCCAGCGCAGAAGCGTTGTGACCCCACGGGACTTCCCAACACCCGTACCCCCTCGTGGGTGAGTGGGAGGCCCTCGGGGAGCTCGTCACCCTCAAGCGGCGTCGTGGACCACGCCCACGATTTTTTGAGGTTGCAGGTGAGGCCATCCTGGGCGAGTAGCGGCGTCAGTAACTTAAGCGCGCCGAGCGTTGCTGTCGCCGGTCCGATCATGGTGATGTCATCTGCGTATGCTAGGATCGTGACTTCTGGGTGCTCTGCTGCTGTGCGTCTGAGGTGCTGCTGGATTGATGCCGCGAACAGCAGGGGTCCGAGGGGGTCCCCCTGCCTCACCCCTCTTCCGCTGGTAAGTGCCATCGTGCTCAAGCGGGGATCGGTCAGCAGCTGAGAAGGCGTTGCGTAGAAGGAGCGGGTGAAAGGTATGAGCGGTGCTAGCGGGGTGTTGGTGAGTGCGTTGAAGAACGCTTTCCTCTCTACGGAGTTGAAAGCGTTTTCAATGTCGAGTTGGAGGACTAGGCTGGAGGGTTGTGAAGTGGTGAGGTCTCTGTCTGCATGTATAACGAACTCAGCTCCGCCTGGGACTGCCACACCAAATTGTTGGGGTAAGAAAAATCGCCTTGTTTCTCCTTGCAGTTCCGAGAGTGCCACCTTTGCTGCCAACCTGAGTAGGGATTCCCCTATTGCGATAGGGCGTACCCCCCCCCCTGGTTTCGCGAAGGCGATGAGGCGGGATGGCGAGAGTAGTGCTGCAACCTCGGTGGAAAGATTCGTGGAGAGAAGATGTGTTACGGCGGAGTGTAGGTGCCCCAGCACTTCGATGTTGCTTAGGGCTGGGTCGCGGTAGTGTTCAAATGTTGACCCGGATGGACCAGCCCCAACTCCGCTGGGGCAATCCCCCAGGACGTCTGAGAAACTTTCCGCGGTGCACGAAAATTGCGTAGGTGTTGTGTAGGTGTGGACCCAGTCGGGCAGCTCAACTTGGGGTTGGGGATGTTTCAATTCCAACTGCTGCAATGTTGCGACCGTCGCAGGGGCCGCTGGCGAGGGTGAAAGGGCTGCCAACGCTTTTCGCAGGTTACCTCGTTTCACCAGCCCCTCCACACGTGAGCAGATTCCCAGGGGGTCGTTTTGGTGCTGAGGTGGCTCAGCTTGGTGCAGGGACCCCACGTAGTCACTGTAGAGCTGGTTCCAGTGGCCACATCTGAATAGGTGCATCTGCTCTCGCAGCACCTTCCACTTAGAGCTGGACCTCCTGCTAAGTCGTAAGGTGAGACGTGGCAGGAACATGAAGACCCGCCACGCTCCCGCGCAGTTGGGCAATTTGGAGATCCGTAAGAGGGCGGCCAGCATACAGGTGGAGTAGTCGCTTAGTATCTGTGGCGGCAGGCGGCGGACGATAGGCAGGTGGGTGGTTGACGTTAGGGTTGAAGAGTCCCAGCTCGTCGCGATCTCAAAGAGATCCTCCCTCGATGCCAGCTGGGACGCTGACAGGGCTTGGTCCGGAGGGGGTTGGGGTCTGCGGTTCTGTCGGCGTCTAGAATCCCTCTCCTGCTGCTGCGCCTGGTCCTCCCCCGCTTCCGCGAGAGGTGAGTCGGGGTTGTCGGATTGCCTCAGATCTGACGGTACATATTCGTCGCCGCTCCCTTCTGCGTTTGTATCACCGATTCTCATTGCTTGCGCTGTCGTTCCCCTTCTCCCCCCTCGTCTAGCAAACGACTGGCGCGTGACTCGTTCCGCCGGCTCCCCCAACCAGATTGGGCTCGGTAGTTGGCGCGGATTCCCCCTCGCCGCTTGGCCTGCACTCCGCTGTCCTCCGCGCGCTCCTCGACCCCCGCCTCTCCCCCGCGTGCTTCCCCGTCCGCTCCTCGGAGTGGCTGCCACAGGTGCCGCCTGTTGCGCCTGGGAGATCGGCGTCGTCGGCTCCTCTTGTGGCAGTGGAGCGCCCTGAGCGCTCGCCGATGGATTTCCTCGGCGCTCTGGGCCGCGACTGCACCGCGGAGAGCGATCCCGCTCCCCGTCCGCGTCCTCCTGCACGCCCTGCCGCGAGCGTACCTGTTGCTCCACCGGCGTCCGCTGATCAGATCCGCCGCCGCTTCGAGGACCAGCAGCGCGAGCTGGTTCGGCGCGCGGGCAGATCCTTGTCACCGCCGGAACCACTGCGCGCAGGGTCTGTCTTGCGCTCCGGCGCAGAGGCTGTGGTGCACCAGGAGCGTTCGCCTCGCCGTCGCTCATCGGCAGCTCGCGACGATAAGCGGGAGAGCCGCCGCGATGATCGTCACGGTGCGGCCCGTTCGCCGCTGTCTCCTCGTTCGCCTCGTCGCGTGGCGACGCGAAGCCGATCCCGTGACCGCCGCTCGCATCGTCATCGTTCGCCCCCTCCTCATTCATCTCGCCAGCGGTCGCCTGCTCGCCAGACGTCTGGGCGTCGGCCCCCAGCTCCGCGTTCGCCCCCTCCTGCAAAGCGCCAGCGGACTCCCCACGTCGCGGGGACCGTTTTCCTGGCCGCCAGCGTCAGCAGGGCCCATCTCGCCCGCAGTCGCCTGTGCGCTCGAGCGCAAGTGGGCGTGCGCGTCGTGGGCGACGGGGGGGTGACAGTCGCGGCGGAAAAGCGGGTCCAGCGCCGTCCGCAATGGAGCGCCGTCTTCTGGATAGGCTTGATGACGTGGAGAAGGAGCTTCGTCGCTCGCGTGCTGGGTCGGCCTCACCATCAGCTCCTCGCGCTGCTCCCGTCGTCCCTCTCTCCGCGCTCCTGCCCCACAATCCCTTTGGATCCCCGGCGCGTTCGAAGCGGCCGCTGCCTGCGGGGACGGGCTTCGTAGGTGCTGGTGGCGGGCCGCCGTGGGCTCAGTTTGCTCCGCCGCGTCCTCTTCCTGCTCCGCGTGATCTCGCCGTGTCGTCTCACCGTGCCCGCGCGTCTGCGTTGCTTCCGCCGATGAAGGAAGTTCCCACGGCGACCCTGGCCCGCCTATGGTCGCTGGCGGCGTCCCTGCAGAGCCTTGAGCGGATTCTCCAGGAGTCATTTGACTCCATGCCGGTGAGCCCTCCGAGCAGGTTCTCTCAGAAACCGCGAGCAGATTGTCATGCGGCGGCGTCAGCGCTATTCGCGCTTGTAACGCCACTGCTATTCTCTCTCTCTCTCTCTCTCTCTCTCTCTCTCTCTCTCTCTCTCTCTCTCTCTCTCTCTCTCTCTCTCTCTCTCTCTCTCTCTCTCTCTCTCTCTCTCTCTCTCTCATTTTCTCTCTCTTGCTCGCTAACTCGCTCGTCTTTTGAGGCGCCTCAAAAAAGGTGAGTCAGCGCGAGGAGACAACGGGGCATGGAAGAGGTGCGTTCTCTCGCTCGCTCGCCCGCTCGCTCACTTGCTAGCTCGCTCAATCTCTCTAGCAGATTATTCCAGTACACATGCGCTTGCTGGCAGGTAGCCTAGTGCTTCTCTGTTTTTGACGTGCCTCATACCCAACCATGCCCTGCGCTGCTCTCACTACCACTACCACTACCACTACCACTACCATTACCACTCCGCTTACTCGCTCTCATATGTGTCACCTTCTCTGCATATCATTCCACCGCTCAAGCGCTCGCTGGCAGGCATTCTCCTGGTGCCCTGCTTTTGACGTGCCTCGACCCTAACCATGCTCCTCTCGCCACACCCGTGTGCTTGCTTTCTCTCGCTCGCTTTCTCTCTCTCGCTTTCTCTCTCTCCCGCAGATCATCCCAGCACACATGCGCTCGTTGGCAGGCAGCCTCGTGGTGCTCTGGTGTTGACATGCCTCGAACCTAACCCTGCCCCTCTCGCCACGCCCTTCTCACCACGCCCCTCTCCCGCTCTGCCCTGCAGATCATCCCAGCACACATGCGCTCGCTGGCAGGCAGCCTCGTGGTGCTCTGCAACTGGTCCCTCTGCTTCCTCATTACGCAAACCTTTGCTGTGCTCTTTGCATGGAGCTCTTACGGTAAGTCCAAGTGTGGGTGGATGGCACATAGGTGAATGGTGCTTTTTTGAGAATTTTCAAAAAACCTACGCTGCACGTAGGTGAATGGTGCCAACCTACACTTTTATTCTGAGAATTCAAAAAACTTCAACGCGCCTCAAAACTCGACGCCTCTGTCCTTGCATCCCTGTAATTATCTTCTTGCTTCCAACTGGAATATATTTGCCATTTTCTTGTTCTGGCTCGTTGCGAGCGAATTGTTCATATGACTGAACTTCAGCCCCCCTGTTTTTACCTCCCGCACTTCGTTCTGTGCTCATAGCACTCGTGACTGTATACTTCTGCTCTTCTGCCCTCCCTGGTTTCTCCCCATGTCATATGAACCAGGAACGGTGTGGCTGTATGGAACGGTGGCTGCAGTAGGAGTGGCTTTCATATGGTATTGTGTTCCAGAGACCAAGGGCAGGTCTTTGGAAGAAATCGAGGCTTTCTTTAGACCTGAAAACGATTCCTACCAGTAGTCATGGTTGCAGAGTGCTGCTGCCTCGGCTCATATGACGTTCTCGTGGTGCATCTTACGGTCAAATAATGAAGTTGAAAATATTTCGTGATTGAATACCTTTGTTGTAGAAATGATGCTGCTCAAAGCACGGTAAATGCTTCAAAGTATAGCCAAAGACAAATATTGTGGATGGGTTGAATCTCTCGCCCACCATTTCCACTTCAATTTACGTACGAAGATGTTAAAAACCTAAGGCAAGAATGAGTGGATTGGGTGAAGGCTAGGGTACAAGACTAAGGTATCGAGAAAGTTTGTGTACCCCCTAGAGCTAACCCCCATACAACCTAGATGACCTAAACAAGCATATATATATAATTTGACACACCCCCATAGGCGAAATGGGGGATAGCCAGAGCAAGGAACGGTTACATGACCAATCAAGAGAAGAAACAATACACAGCTCAGGGTGGATCACAACGTCACCAGGCACTCTGAGCACAAGCAAAAGACCACAAGGCCAGTTCACATGCAGAGAGAGAGAGAGAGAGAGAGATATATATATATATATATATATATATATATATATATATATATATATATATATATATATATATATATATATATATATATATATATATATATATATATCACAGTACAAACAAAGCCTACAGCAAGTGAGGAAGTGTGGGCACTAGGCCTAACAAGGTGCAGAAACGCTGATGATCACCAGGTGGAAGCGCCTTGGTGAATATATCAGCAGTGTTGGCCCGAATGGCCACGTAAGCAAGACGAAGCTGGCCACGCTGCTGCAGCTCTCAAGCAAAGAAGTAACGCAAAGCGATGTGCTTCATTCTGTGCTCCAGTCTGTGCTCCTGACACAAGGCAATGGTGGCCTTGTTGTCGACGTACAGAACTGGAGGAGAACGAGGCCGCTCTCCCAAGTCGATCAACAGATAGGTGAGCCAGCGTAGCTCCTGTGCAGCCATGGCTGTGGCGTAGATCTCGGCCTCACAGCTGGAGCCGAGAACTGAAGACGAACGTGTAGAACGCCAGGAAACTGAACCAGAACCAAGGCGGAAAGTGTAACCCTGTGACGACCGCTGCGTAGCCTGGTCGTCAAGGCAAGTGGCGTCCGAGTGACCAGTGAGGACAACGTCACCCCGTCCTCCAAGCACGAGCCCCATGCCCGATGTACTGCACAAGTAGCATAGTACCCTCTTAGCAGCATCCATGTGCACCTTTCGGTGCCGACCAGGAGCCACGTAGCGAGCCAGAAGGCCAAGAGGGTACGCAAGGTCAGGACATCTGCAGGTCATCAGGTACATGAGGCAGCCCACTAGCTGTAGGTAAGGACCACTCGGCTCTACGGACTCATCCGAAGGTGGAGCTGAGAGCGAGTGACTTGTAGCCAGAGGAGTGGCCTGTGCTGAGGACCAAGTGAAGCCGAAGCGCTGAAGGACCTGCTGCACCATGTGTGACAGAGTCAGTGTGATGGTGCGGTGTGCTCTGTCCCGGGTGATCTACAAGCCAAGGTAGCTGCGCAGCTCACCCAGGTCTGTGCACGTGTGTCTCTTCTGCAGCTCCGACTTCACCAGGGCGAGCGCCTCAGTGTCAGCAGTGGCAAAGACCAATTCGTCGAGGTACACTAGGATGTAGAACGGCGGGAGCGAAGTGTCGGTGCGCAGAAACAGCGACGGGTCAGCAGTCGACGGGGCAAACCCAAGAGCCGCAAGTGTAGTCCTCAGTGTGTCGTACCACTCACGTGGCGCCTGGCGGAGACCGTAGACCGGCCGCCGGAGGCTCCACTGGGTACCAAGAGGGAACGACCCAGTGAAGCCAGGAGGGCGGCGCAGCCAGATCTCCTCGTGCAGGCTGCCCTGCAAGAAAGCTTTGCTGAAGTCAAGAGAGTGAAGCTCGTAGTCACGCTGAGCGGCAACGTGCAGCAGCACCCGAAGAGTAGTCATCTTCGGGGTGGGGGAGAAGGTCTGGAAGAAGTCAACTCCCTCTCGCTGACTGAAGCCTCGAGCAACGTAACGAGCCTTGAAGACAGGTGGAGAACCTGGCGGCCGCTTCACCCTGAAAATCCACATGCCACTGACAATGTTCGCCCCAGGAAGGGGAAACTCGTCGACGTAGGTTCCTGTGGACTTCCAGGATGCCATCTTTGCGTCCATGGCTGTCTGCCACTGAGAGGAGTGGGGACCCTCGATCGCCTCAGCGTACGATCGTGGAGTCGGGATGTCTGGTGCATCCGGATCTTCCTCAGGGGCAAGCAGCATGGACACGAGATGAGGCGCAGCGGCTGCAAGATACTCAGGGTCCTCCTGCCTGTCCTCAAGGACGTCCGTGCCAAGAGCACACTCACCCCCGTCGGACGGAGGACAGACTGACTCAGACTCAGCAACAAGACTAGCCGCGTAGTCTAGAGGACAGTGAGCAGCAAAGTCGACAAGCTCAGCGACCAAGGCAGACGCAGCAGCAGACTCAAACGACGAGTCGGCGACAACAGTGGCTAGCAGACGCGTGACAGTAGGGTGCTCAGCACGAAACCGGTCAGACTCAGGGTCACCAACGACAGGTAGAGAGGACGCAGGCGGAGACGGCAGGTGAACACGTGACGGCAAAGAGGAAGGACGACGGACGACAAGGGAAGGGCCGGGGACAGCCGGCTTACGCGGACGAGGAACACGACGACTAGAATGACCGGAACGGACAGGTGAGACAGGACGCGACGCAGGCTCACGACGCTCAGCAAGGCCCCCTATCTGCTCAGCGTAAGGAGAAGGAGAAGGCAGAGGTGAGCCAGGCTGTAATGGAAGACCAGTAGATGACGGGAGGCTAAGAACCTGGCGAAGCACGGAGCCAGGCGGTGGCAGGGACGATGGAGACGGCGGAGCAAAGAACAGGCGCGGCTGTGCAGTGCCACCAGCACCAGCAGCTCCTGCCCCCTCAGCAACTCCAGCACCTCCAGCAGCTCCAGCACCCTCAGCAGCTCCAGCACCTCCAGCACCTCCAATACCCTCAGTAGCTCCAGCTCCTCCAGCAGCTCCTGTACCCTCAGCAGCTCCAGCACCTCCAGCAGTCCCAGTACCCTCAGCAGCCCTAGCACCTCCAGTAGCTCCAGAACCCTCAGCACCAGCCCCACCTGGTGCAGCACCCCCAGAACCGGCACCTCCAGTCCCAGGGTCTCCAACCGCAGTGCCACCAGCAGCAGCACCCTCAAACACGCCACCGTTAGCCCCAGCAGCTCCAGTAGTCCCAGTACGAGCACCTCCGGGACCAGCGACACTAACACCTCCAGCAGGCAAAGGACCAGCACCACTCCCAGCTCCAGTGACGCCAGCAGAAGAACCCCCAGCAGTAGAGCCCTGAGGTGCAGAAGCGCGACGCTGACGGCGACCGTTCCAGTTGTGCAGCTGCTGGGAGGTGAGAGGCACACGCGGACAAAGACGGCTACTCCAAGGAGACCGTGTAACAGCAGTCTCAGGACCCTCAGGCGACTCACCCCCAGACTCAGCACCCCCAGGCTCCGCACACGCAGGCTCAGCACATCCAGACTCAGCACCCCCAGACGCAGCACCCCCAGACGCAGGACCTCCAGGCTCCTCACGCGCAGGCTCCGTACCCTCAGGTCCCTCATGCCCAGCGCCCCCAGACTCAGCACCCCCACGCTGCAAACCTCCAAGCTCCGCACCCGCAGGGACAGCACCACCACCAGCAGGACCGGAGTCACCAGTGACATCAACACGCGCAGGGACGGGAGGGTCTACATGAGAAACACCCGAAGGAGCAGGACCTGGCGCGGGGAGGGGGTCTACCTGGGGAGGACCTGGGGCAAGAAAGAGCGTCGGGAGAGGGCGAGGAGCAGTGCGGTAGGGGAAGAGGTGGTAAAAGGGGACTGACTCATCAAAAGTGACGTCCTGGGACGCAAAGACACGGCGCAAGGCGGGGTCGTAAAACTGCCAGGCAGGCGCATCAGGGACGAAGCCAAGGAAGACACAAGGAATGGCGCGAGGGGAGAGCTTGTCCGCGGTGGTATCGCGAACAAAGGCACAAACACCCCAGACCCGGAAACGCGACGCGTCGCCAACCTTCCCCGTCCACACCAGTGTGGGCGAGGTCTCCGGCTAGGAGACACGGGGCCAAAGTTTGAGCTGATGCGCGGCGTACCGGACCGCAAACGGCCACAGAAAATGGGGGGCAGCCGCATGGATCATGGAGGTACGAGCGACCTCCATGACTAAGCCAATGCGGCGCTCAGCAACCCCATTCTGCTGCGGAGAGGCCGGAAGCGTGAAAGTCTGGCGGATGCCGTGCTCCGCATAGAAGGCGGCCAAGAGGTCGGAGGAGAACTCGCCACCTCTGTCAGAGTGCAGACGCAGGACAGGAAAGTCCGACTGGAACCGCTCACGGAGCTGGAGACGAGTAGCGCGGATCCAGGGGATCAAATCATCAGGGACATCCCCCTTGCGCTGCAAGGGGAAGACCGTGGTGTAGCGCGTGTAGTCGTCGACAACCTGCAGGAAGTTCCGCTCGTGGCCCTGTCCACGGACGCGGGCTGGGCCCCACACGTCCAGGTGGAGAGTCTGCAGTGGAGCCTCTGTGGGAGGGAACGAGGAGGAGTGAGGAGCGGCGCGCTGTCGCCCCTCGACGCAAGGAATGCAGGGCGGCGCAGGCGAGGGAGGGAGGGCAGGCAAAGACCTGGGAAGACCAGAAACCAGAAAGCGAGAGTGCATGCTACAAAGGCGAGGCATGGAGGGGTGTCCCAAGTGGTGGTGCCACAGGAGGGTGTCGTGAGACAGCCGGCGAAACTCACACTGGGTAGCTACCTGAGCAGACGCGTGCAGCTGGGGAGACAAAGGGGTGAAGCGGGACTCAGTGGTGAGGGTGTACAGACTGGACCCTGGCGCACGGGTGAACGTGGCCAGGTGGCGCCCGGTCTGGGAGCACGTGCAGATCGCCACACGCTGTCGGCCAGGGGTGAAGGTGTCAACACCTCCATCCTGGAGGACACCATTGCTCACCAAGTTCGTAGAGAACGAGGGGAGGTGGAGACCAGACAGCTCACCATACGGTACCGCCGGACACGGAAGCACAGTGGGAGACCGTGCAAGCACTGGGCCCCCAGAGGGGTCAGCCAGTGAGACAGGAACAGGTGCAGGAAGGGGAGTGACTGTGGTACTGTCGCGAAAGAAACAGCGGGAAGCACCAGAGTTAAGTGTAAAGGTGTGCGAGGCCTGTGCAGGCGCAGTACCAAGGGGAGCAGACTCACAAGCACCTAGTGCTGCAAGGGCTATACCAGGGGCTATACCAGGATCCGGCGGCACACACAAGTAGCAGTCACCCTCAGCACTAACAGACAATGCATACATAGCAGCTAGAATAGCCTCATAGTCATGATCAAAGATTGGTACATCACGCCTAAGCAAGTCTGCCCAGTTGGGGAACTCAGTAGCATCAGGAAACTTGGCGCGCCAGGCGTCGCTAAGTCGAGCGAAGCAGCGCTGCTCAATGTGAAACCGTGTGCACTGGCGATTAGTGCGGGGACCTGTGCGGATGATATAGGGGCAGCGACCAGGACCCCCATAAGCCCCACGCCCGGCAAACCAGTCAAGAAGCTACTGGGAAGTGGGGGTCTGGCGCTGACGCTGCTGCTGCTACTGCTGCTGCTGGCCCTGACCACCACTGCCACCACCGCTCCCTCCTCCCCCACCGCCACTGCTGCCCCCTCCACCGCCCCCAGTGCCTCCGCCGCCCCACCCACCACCTCCACCCCCTCCACCCCCACGACCACCCCCACCACCTCCACCGCCCCCGCCGCCTGCACCACCGCCACCTCCACCGCCGCCCCCACGTGCCCTGCCACCCCTGCCGCCCCTGCTGCTGCGACGCTTCCCACTAGGAGCGGAAGCAGCCCCGACCTCCTCAGCACCAAGGTAGTCGTGAGCAGCAGCTGCGGAGGCGTAGGAGGGGGTGAGAGGGGAGGGGGAGCACCCCTCAAAGAGGGGAGAGCGAGGAGTACCACGAGCAGCACCTACAGCGAGGATGTTCTTCTCTGCTGCAAGGAGGTGCTTCTCGAAGTCGTCGACAGTGAGAGTGGGGGGGTCTAGCGCTAGGAAGTGGTCTCTGACCGAGCTAAGAGTGTCAGGGAGGCGCGTAACGAGGAAATAGAGAGTGAAGTACATCGGGGGGGGGGGGGGTTGCGGCGCAGAACTCGGCTGAGAGGGCGGCACGAAAGCGAGTGTCAGTAGCGCGGAGGTGAGAAATGAGGTCCTCAACAGTGGTGAACGATGAAAGGTCGGGGAACAGGTAGGGTAGCATGAGCCGACCTATGGCTGCAGTGGCCGGGGAGGAGTAGTGCGCAACCACAGCGTCGTACAGTGTCTTAGCAGTTTTGTGTTGGCTGAAATGTGCGCGCTCAGTGATCGGCAGATGGTTCCTAATAGCTAGGCGTGCAGCAGCATCGCGAGTCTGCCACTGCGAGCGTTCGAGAGCAGGAGCATCAGCAGCAGGAGCAGCGGCAGTGCCAGACACGTAATCGAACAGTGAAACGCCCTCTTTGGCATCGGTCAGAAGGAACAGTTGCAGGTCATCTAGCCACACAGTGAACTCTATGGGGCGACCGTCAGGTTCGAACGCGAGAACATTAGGCGTCATCATAACAGCAGTAGGTAAAGGCAGCAGAAAGCAGGCAGGCAGTAGACACGAGGCAGCAGGCAGTAGACAGCAGGCTAACATAGAGGCAGTAGGCAGTACAGACAACGTGCAGGGCAGTAGCTTGCTGCACCCGAGCTCCTAAGGTGGGGCTCTAGATAGTGGCAGGCCGTACAGTTCGAAGGCAGCGGACTCGGAAGCAGTGAGCCTCACAGGCAAGTACACTAGTAGACGCGCGCGGCTGCTGGCTGCGTGCGGCTAAGGGCTGCGCATGGCTCTTTGCTGCGCGTGGCTACGTGCTGCGCGCGGCTCCTGGCTGTACGTGGCGACGGGCAGCACGCGCGGCTGCATTTTGCATGCGGCGATGGGCCTAAGCAGGCTACGCGCGGGCAGCGTAAGGGGCGCGCGGGCTCTACGTGGGCTGCGCGGGCGATGCGGACCGGCGCGCGACTCTGCAGCAGTGGCGCACGCTAAAAAAACAGAGACGCGCGCGCTAGAAACCGAGGCGCGCGCGGGAAAAATAAGTGCCGCGCGCTGCAGCCGAGGCGCGCGCGAGCAGTAGGCAAGGCAGACAGTTAGGTGGGCCCGATTCGTAGGTCCTAGAGACCTCCTGCTCTAGTTACCATGTTAAAAACCTAAGGCAAGAATGAGTGGATTGGGTGAAGGCTAGGGTACAAGACTAGGGTATCGAGAAAGTTTGTGTACCCCCTAGAGCTAACCCCCATACAGCCTAGATGACCTAAACAATCATATATATAATTTGACAGAAGAAACCTTCCCACCAAGGCACTGACAAAAGTTTAATTGCGGCAAAGTACGGTACTACCAGTTGCGTGCATCTTGCTAGCCATTTGCAAGAGAATGATGTACCAAAATTACTCTGGTAGAGGGCCGTCTCTTATGGTTGGCATCTGTTGCTGGGGATGAGGTACTAAAAGAAATATATCTCTTTAGTTTGATTCTAGTATATACCCGCTCGTCTATGTCATCATCAAAGTTTGCTCGTTAAATTTCAGCAGGTGCAACCATCGCGGCAGTCTGAGACGAGTGATCTGACCACTGACAGTAACCACCTGACTGACGTGGGGTGTGAGGTCTAAACTCAAGCCGCGAAGTCCATCTAGGCACAAATGATTCAGCTTTGCTCTTTTCAGCGTCATCAACATCGGCGACTCTGTTGCTTCAATATGAAAATCGACGGTCGTTACAGACTGACTGGGGCGCCGCAAGCATCCAGCGAAGGAAATTCATTATCCTGTCACTTCGGCCGACATGGCATTCAGGTTTAGCGGGACCACTCCGAGTCATTCGCATCGCGGTTCAGCCTCCATAAACCATGCATGGCTGCGAAAGCGTTTGGTGGAACTGGTCAGCAACGGCGTACACAAAGTAGGCCGCAGTGCCTCGCCACGTCATACCGTCCATTGTTGAAATGGATAGCCGAGGCGCGTGTGAGCATTCAAGACATGGCAATTTAGCAAGCGAAATTTCACGCCCTGCACGACTAAGAGATTTTCGTTTTCCTATGAGCACACGAACAGAGCGGAGAGCGTCTGGTAACTCAAAGTGAGTCAGTTGCAGAGCATCGGGCCCGTGCGAAAGCTTCGCGACTTCGCTGGTCAGGATAGATGGTCATGCCGTGAAAGTAGTTCCAGCCAGGCTGCGGAGGGTGACGTGGCGAGATGGTGAAGCGAAATGGGCGATGCGGCAAGCGAGATGAGATGGTGGAGCAGGGATGGTGTAGTGTCGGATGGGACATGTGATGATATGAGTTGATTTGAGATGCCGTGCTGCGCTGTGCCGCCACACCGCACCCTGTCCCGCCCCCAGCAGTCCGTCCCACGTGGTGGTGCCCTAGAAAATCGTTCGAGGCGGCGGAATCGCGCTTTGGTCAGCCAATGCTTCCTAGTCGCTGGTGTGATTACGACCATCGGGAGCTTCTAGAAGCACTCCCATGGCAGGAAGAACTTGGTTTTGAAGGAACGAGGGTGGAGACCATAAGGCACTCCCATGGATTGTCCTGCACATTAGAGCTGCTCCCTAGATTGAAACGAATCTGAATCTTTGTTTATCCTGTTTGACAACGTCCTACTAATTCGTGGTACTGTTAATAGGTCCCGAGTTAGGGCGCGAGTCAAAACCTAGTCGCACGAAATTGTCAGGAGCGCAACGACCGCATAGCTGACTAGTTATCTACCCGAAACACGATGTGAGATTGCTACCACGCAACCTATCGTATATTAAGTGTTTGAAGCCTCTGATTCTTGGCGACTTTCCTGCCTCGCTTTCTAGCGCCCTCCTGCCGTCGAGACGTAGTTTCTCGACTTCACCGTCCAGTCGTCGTTATACGCGCTTATCCGTTCCCTAGGAATCGTCTCTTGTATTTCGAAATATAATGGTTTTCTTGTCCACTGTTCCGCTTCCCCGTCTCTTCTCCTAACCTTTTTCTTCCCGACTCCCTAATCCTTCCTACTACATTTAAACTCGCATCGCCTTCAACCGCTTGAAACAACTCGTTACCCGACACATCCCAACTTCAAGCACTCGCGCTTTCCATCCCCGTTGCACGCAGTTCCGCTATTACCTCTCTCGCCATCATGCACGGCAACGGCGTAATCGGCGTGCTCCACGAGGGCCGCTACAAGTGGGAGCGCCGCGCGCCGCTCACCCCCGCGCAGTGCGCGCGCCTCCTCGCCGCTTCCGCGAACGGGACCGCCGCGGGGCGCGCGGCGCACGGTGGGCGCGCGGCCGCCGGGTCGATTCGCATCATCGTGCAGCCAAGCAGCAAGCGCGTGTTCGCGGACTCTCAGTACGAGGACGTGGGATGCGAGTTGTCTGACGACCTCTCCGAGTGCGGTCTCATCCTGGGCGTCAAACAGCCACCGGTAAGCGACTCTGTGGCGCCTCAAAAGCACGTCGTTCCTGAGAAATTCCAGAACGAGGCCGTGGGATGCGAGATTTCTGGCGACCTGTCCGAGTGTGGCCGTATTCTCGGCGTCAAGCAGCCGCTGGTAAGCGTCGCGGCTGCGCGATATACGCTATCGGAGACGAGAAACGGAGATATGGGGCTGCGGGTTTCAGTGCCAGTGATGGTAGTTGAAGGCTCCAAACGCTATCCTATATTCCTGCTTTACCAACACCGTCCTTCCTCTTCCTCCTGCCACTCGTCCTCCCCGTCTTCGCTCTTTTTTTTTTTTTTTTTTTTTTTTTTTTCTCTCTCTCTCTCTCTCTCTCTCTCTCTCTCTCTCTCTCTCTCTCTCTCTCTCTCTCTCTCTCTCTCTCTCTCTCTCTCTCTCTCTCTCTCTCTCTCTCTCTCTCTCTCTCTCTCTCTCTCTCTCTCTCTCTCTCTCTCTCTCTCTCTCTCTCTCTCTCTCTCTCTCTCTCTCTCTCTCATTCTATTTCTCTCCCTCTCTACCCCTCTCCATCCCGCTCGCCCCTGTACCCCTTTCCACCCCTCTCGACCACTCTCTACCATTCTCCCTGCAGCTGGGTACGCTGCTCCCCGACCGCTCCTACACCTTCTTCTCCCACACGCACAAGGGGCAAGAGGAGAACCTCCCGCTGCTCGACGAGGTGCGCTTCTTGTAGCGCTCGCTGCATTTTTTGCGCCTATAGCGCCTGTAGCGCCACTTTTGAGTTTCCGGCGGTATTTTTCTCTCCCACACGCACACGGGACAAGAGGAGAACCTCCCTCTGCTCGACGAGGTGCGCTACTTGTAGCACGTCTGTAGCGCCCGTGGTAACAGTAGCACCTGTAGCAGCAGTGTGTGCCACCTGTGGTTTTTTGTGCTGTAATGAAGTGGTCGTAGTGTTTCCGCTGTGCTTATATGGGTCCGCTCGAACGGCGTTCGCTCTCACTCACTTTCCCCCGCGTCCCGTGCAGATCCTCGCGAAGCGCGTGTCGCTGTACGACTACGAGCTCATCGTGGGCGATGACGGGCGGCGCGTGGTGGCGTTCGGGGAGTACGCGGGGCGCGCGGGCATGATCGACTGCCTGCGCGGACTGGGGGAACGTACGTTGGGGGGAAGGGGGGGATCGAAGGGGGGAAAGAAGAGGGGAGGAGGGGGAGGTGGATGGGGGCGTGGGGGAAAGTTGCGGGGAAAGGCCTGAAGGGGGCGGGATATGGGGAATGGGCGGAGACGGGTTGGGGAAAAAAAACCTCAAATTCTAAATCTGCAATTTATTCACTCTCGGCAATTCAACCTTCGCTCCCAGCAAGGCGCCTCGAAGCCCAACTATATTATTCTCTGCTTTAATCCTCTCGTAGCCCCTTCCCTCCCTTCCCCCCTCGCCTCCCTCTTCCGTAACCCCGAACACCTCCCTTTTTCATGCACACTTCCCTCTCGCTCAACCTCTCCCCCCTCTTCCCGACCCCCTACCCTTCTCCCGCTTTTCTCCTCCTTGCTCCCCACCCCTTCCAGGATACCTAAATCTGGGCCACCACACGCCGTTCCTCTCGATCGCGTCCGCTTACATGTACCCCTCGCTCTCCGCCGCCAAGGCCGCCGTGGTTGCCGCGGGCGACGACATCTCCACGCACGGCCTGCCGCCCGCGCTCGCGCCGCTCGTGTTCGTCTTCACTGGCACGGGGAAAGGTGCGCGCGGAAGGGGGAAGGGGGGGGGGTTGAGGAGGGCGCGATGGGGACGTAAGGGAAAAGGAGGAAGGCGGGAGGGAGGGGAGATTGCGTCCCGCGCTCGCGCCGCTCGTGTTCGTCTTCACTGGCACGGGGAAAGGTGCGCGGGGTCGGGGGGGGGGGGGGTGGAGGGGAAGGGGGGGAGGAGAGGGGCGAGAGGAGGGGGGGGGGGAAAGGGGGAGGTGGGGGGAGATTCAGAGGGTTCCGGCCCGCGCTATCCCCGCTCGTGTTCTTAACTGGAACCACCAGGGTTGTTCTAGGAATCTTTCACTCGCAAAATTTCCCAGCCACTATAAACCCTGAACCTTGTACCCTGTTTCCCCGCTCCCTTCCCCCCTCCCTCGTCCCCCTCCGCGCGGCCCCGTCCCCCCGGTGCGCGCAGTGTCCCAGAGCGCGCAGGAGATATTCCGCCTGTCATGTTTCAAGTGGGTGCCTCAGAGAAAACGCATCCCCAGTCCGTCTTTCTTTGCCCCCTTCCCACCTCCTCTTCCCCGCTCCCACCCTCTCTCCAACCCCATTTCCCTCCCTCCCCCTCCCCCCCCCCCCCCCCTCCCCCCCCTTCCCCCCCCCTTCAACCGGTGCGCGCAGTGTCGCAGGGCGCGCAGGAGATATTCCGCCTGCTGCCGCACCACTTTGTGAAGCCCGCGGACCTGCCGCAGCTGCTCGCGCGCAAGCCCCCCGCACATGTGAGTCCGCGCGCCCTTAGCCGTGCGTGTGTGGGGAGGAAGGAGGGTGGGGGGAGGGGAGGGAGCTTTCGGGTGGGGTGGAGAGGGGGAGGGGGAGAAAGGGAAAGTTGAGGATGGGTATGCGTGCGTGTGTTGGAGTGTATGTGTGTCTACATGTGGGGGGGGGGGGGGGGGGGGGGGGGGGTGCTTGTGATGTGAGGCCAACACATATGATCCCATGCCTCTCATTGGACTGGGAATTTAGGGTTCAGGGTTTTGGAGGCTCGGATTTAGGGCTTTGGACGCGTTTCAGAGGGCAATCCAGTCGTGTGCGCAAAAAAAAAAATCCCCACTCTCCCTCTCCGTAATCCCCTCTCTCTCGCCCTTGCTCTCTTTTCCTCTCGCTTGTTCTCCCCTCCTCTGAGTACTCTCCCAGGGTCACGGCTTGGACCCATCACAGAAGGTGATCTATGCGTGTGTGGTGGAGGCGAAGGACATGGTGGAGCCCATCGACAAGGCGGCGCACCCCACCTTTGATAAGGTGAGCTGGCTGTTGCAGCAGCAACTAGTGAGAGCAACTCTGTCGAATAAGACCACAGTGCAAGACAGGTTTGCTTGTTTGCGTGTGTGGTGGAGGCGAGGACATGGTGGAGCCCATTGACAAGGCGGCGCACCCCACCTTTGATAAGGTCAGCTTCTGATTCGGTTAGCTGCATACATCCCAGCTTTTAAAGGCCAGGAAAGACATGGTATGGTCTGGATGGACCCCCTTCCTCTCTCACTTTCTTCCTTAACTATTTGCAACTCGGGGGGTGACTGCGTAGTACCCTCTTCTTTTTGTGCTATTCTCGGCGGTCCTTTGAGTGGATTCAACTGCCTTTTAACTTGGCTGATGCTTTTCCCACCTATCTCGTTTCGTCTAACCCATGTTTTTTCACATCCCCCCCCAACCCACGCCACCCCATCCCATGCCATCCCATCCCGTCCCGTGGAACGTAATACAGGAGCATTACTACGCGCATCCCGACCAGTACCGCCCCATCTTCCATGAGACCATTGCGCCCTATGCCACCGTCATCGGTACGTCCCGTGCTCCCGTGCTCCCATGCTGCCATGCACCATGTGCACCACGCGCGCAATGCAACAACTCCCCTTGCTTTCCTCCTACCCGCCCCATCTTCCATGAGACCATTGCGCCCTATGCCACTGTCATCGGTACGTTCCGTGCTCCTGTATGCCATTGCCATGCACCACGTGTGCCATACATTGAACTGAATGGTGACCATGCACCACGTGCCGGCATACACACCATAAGCTACAGCTGACCCTGTTTCGTCGTGCACGTGTCGTACTGTTCCAGCGTACTGGGAGCACACTTTCCCCGGTCTGCCTGCTCTCCAACGAGCACCTCAAGGCCCTGAATTTATCAACCCCTTCACCCCAACGCCTCCAATTCTTCCACATTCCCCTCTCCTCCCCCCCCCTCCCCTTTCCCACCAGTGAACTGCATGTAGTGGGAGCACACTTTCCCCCGCCTGCTGTCCAACGAGCAGCTCAATACCACGCCAGGGGAGACCAAGACCACCAGGCCTCCACGTATCCACCCCACTGAATCTCTCCCATCTCTCTGCCCACCACACCTCCCCCCCCCCCCCCCCCTCTCCACCAGTGAACTGCATGTACTGGGAGCACCGCTTCCCGCGCCTGCTGTCCAACGAGCAGCTGAAAGCCCTCGCCACGGCCACGGACAGCGAGGGGAAGGCAGTGCCGATGCGGCTGGTGGGCGTGGCGGACATCACATGCGACGTGGGAGGGTCCGTGGAGAGCCTCACCCACTCCACTGAGATCGAACGCCCCTTCTTCCGGTGGGTTCGTTGCTCCTTCGGTGATATGAGCGGCCTTTGGGGCGGGGTTCTCCTTGTCGCCCATTGTCGTCGCCCATTGTTGCCAAGGCTGTGGTCGGCAAGGGCCTAGAGCAAGAGGCGTGGGGGGGTCCGTGGAGAGCCTCACCCTCTTCACTGAGATCGAACGCCCCTTCTTCCGGTGCGTGCCTGGGATTGCCCTTACTTTTCCTCTCAAACGAAGGAAGAGAGGGAAAGAGGGAATCGTGTGCGAGAGAGTGTGGAAGTCATGTGTTGGGTAGTGAGAATCGTTGTGGGGGGATAAGGAGGCGTGGCGTGGCGGACAGTGAAGGGCGGGTGGTTCCGATGAGGCTGGTGGGCGTGGCGGACATCACGTGCGACGTGGGGGGGTCCGTGGAGAGCCTCACCTCCATTCTCTCTCACCCGTTCTCCACTCCCCTCTCCTCCTTTTTTCTTGCTTTCCCTCCTCCCCACTCTCCCCACTCTGCCAGCTACGATCCAATCAAGAACACCACGCACGATGACCTCGAAGGTCCAGGAATCTTCTTCGTAGCAGTTGAAATTCTGCCCTCCGAGCTCCCAAAAGAAGCCACCAACCACTTCGGCCAGGCGCTCTTCCCCTTCCTGCGCCACCTCGCCTTCTCCCACCCCTCACCTCCATTCTCACTTCCCTTCTCTACCCTCCCTCTTCCTCCATTCTTCCCCTTCTCCCCTCGTCCCCTACTTCCCTCCTCCCTCCAGCTATGACCCCATAAAAAACACAACCCACGACGACCTAGAAGGCCCCGGGATATTCTTCGTGGCAGTGGACATTCTGCCATCGGAGCTCCCAAAGGAGGCCACCAACCACTTCGGCCAGGCGCTCTTCCCCTTCCTGCGCCACCTCGCCTTCTCCCGCACGCCCGAGGACGCCCCGGCCGCCATGCAGCGCGCGTGCATCACGTACGGCGGGCACCTCTGCCCGCTCTTTGAGTACATTCACCGCATCGCCGCTGCGCGCAAGGCCGAGTGAGTGCCGTGCCGTTTGCTGTGAGTGAGTGCTCCTTGCTTGCCTGTGAGTGAGTGGTGGTGGCGGTGGTAGTGGTGGTTCTTCTGCGCGCAAGGCCGAGTGAGTGCCGTGCCGTTTGCTGGGAGTGAGTGAGTGCTCCTTGCTTGCCTTGAGCTCCTTGCTGCGTTGCCAGGTAAGGGGCACCTAGTCAAGTCACGGTGCCCGCTCTTTCAGTACACCACCACACCGCTGCTGCTTGCAAGGCCGAGTGAGTGCTTGCTATTGGTTGGGGTTAGTGGCGGTGGCGGTGGTGGTGGTGGTGGTGGTGGTGGTGGTGGTGGTGGTGGCGGTGGTAGTGGTGGCGGTGGTGGCGGTGGTAGTGGTGGTGGTGGTGGTGGCGGTGGTGGTGGTGGCGGTGGTGGCGGTGGTGGCGATGGTCGTGGTGGTGGTGGTGGTGGCGGTGGTGGCGGTGGTGGCGGTGGTGGTTGTGGCGGTGGTGGTGGTGGTGGCGGTGGTGGCGGCGGCGGTGGTGGTGGTGGTGGTGGTGGTGGTGGTGGTGGTGGTGGTGGTGGTGGTGGTGGTGGTGGTGGCGGTGGTGGCGGTGGTGGCGGCGGTGGTGGTGGTTCTTCTGCTGCTGAGCTGTCTCTTCTGAGGTGCTTCCGAGGGCTGCTTGGAAGGAAGGTTCAGTGAGTAGTTTGTTTCTTAAATTGTCGTCACCTATTGGTTGCACCTGTGTCTGAATTTTTGAGTATAATCAGTTCAGGCTGCCAGTGACACCTGCTTCAATAACAAAGGCAGCTTTTGATTCTACTCAAAAGTGCATTCACATTCACATTCTTTGTACTCGTTTGCTGCTCCAATAGCACACTCCGTTTGAACGAACTCTCACAGCATCTGTGTGTGCTGCGTGCTGTGTGCCGTGTGCCGTGTGCTGTGTGTGTGCATGATGGCAGGGCGGAGGCAGTCCCATCAGACAAGAAGTACACCACTCTGGTATGTATGCCCCCTCTTACTCTCCTTGCCGCTTGCTTGACCTCCAGTCTCTCTGTGTGCTCTCTGTGTGCGCGAGCCGTGTTCCACTGAGCCTTCTCTCACTGCAGTGACTTTTGGGCTGCTAGGATTCACCTGGTGTGACCTCCTCCCGTTGTGCTGCACTATCCTAGTGTTGACCTGAATTTGATCCTGAACATGTTGTTGAATCCAATCCACCAAGACCTTGCAATGACACACCTCAGACGGTACGGCCTAACATGGTTGTTTACATGTTCTTTCTTTCTTTCTTTCTTTTTCTTTCTGTCCTTCTTGCACTTATTAATACTCCTCTTTTCACCCCTCTGTTGCTCCCTCTGCCCCTCCCACTCCCTCCAAATCCCCTTTCACCTACCCTTTCTCCCCATTCCTCCCTAATCTGTTGCCGTAACTGACATCGAACCCTGTTTCGTCGTGCACGTGTCGTCGCCCTTCATTGGTGCCTCTTGGTTTCTAACTCCATTTCACGTCTCACGTTTTGACTTAATCTCCGGCTGGATTCACGACTGCCTGTTTCTCCCTCCCCCGCTGCCACTGGTTTGTATGACCGCTGATGATCTACACACCTCCTGTCCTGCTTGTTTTCCCCTTCCAAAACCTTTCTTCCGGAATTGTTTCATGCATTTCCTTGTTGCCGTCACACCCCTTGTTTCACAAGATGCTGAGATCTGCTAGAAATAACCCATTCAAAACTCCAAGCTGCAAACCCCCAAACCTCCAAACCCTCTCCTTGAAACCCTCTGTCTCCAAGCCTGATCCCGAGCCTGAGACCGAGACTGTGCCCGAGCCTGAGACCGAGACTGTGCCCGAGCCTGAGCCCAAGCCCGAGCTTGCTTCCAAGTTTGTCCCAAAGAAAGGCTGTGCTATAGACCCTTCAATCCCTGCTGCTACCACAATAAACCATGCTGCCACCTGTGCTGCGACTCTAGTCAAAACCCGCGTTCACCTGGTGTGCAAGAGGCTACAACAGCAGCAGGGGCACAGGCACCTGGTGCTGTTGAGTCTTCAGCACCGTTCCAAAGCCAAGGGCGTGCCTAGCAACCATAGCAGAAACAGTTGCACGAGTTGCTGCACTTGCAATATTGGCTGCAGCAGTTGCGGCAACTTCGGTAGCTCTAGTAGCAGCAGTAGTAGCAGTAGCGGCAGGGCATTGCAGAGTTTGAAACGGCATCCTCCTGGCCTGCTGCACCCGTGTACTCACCACGCTCAGTTGCACTCACGCACTCACCACCAGCAGCAGCAGCAGCAGCCGCAGCAGCAACAGCAGCACTGCCACCACTATCACCAGCACCAGCACCACTGGCACGTGCAGCTTCCCCCGGCTCGTGTGACCCACGGGCCTGCCTCACCCTAGCTGACTCCTTCACCCCCTTCCCTCGCTGAGAATCTCCCCTGCTCCATCTGTCCCTGCTACTTTCTGCCTTCGGTGCCTCCTCTGCTGCTTGCCGCCCTCAAGGCACAAGACTAGGGAGTTGGCTTTTGTTGGCAAAAGCATTTGGCGTGGTTGTAAAACAACAAGGGCAGGCACGGACAGTTTGTGATGGGAGGTTTTCATAAGGGGAAGGGACGCCCACTGCAGCACCCAATTTTCTCACTCTCATCTCCTCCTCCCCATCCTCCTCGTCCTTCTCGCACCTGCTCCGCTCTCCTCTCTCTCCTCTGACTCCTCTTCCCTCCTATCACTCTTACCTCTCCTTTCCCACCTCGGGTGCTGCACGTCACACCTCCAATCCAAGCTCGTGTTTGTGTGTTTGTTTACACCCTCGTGTGTGATTGAGGCGTCTCAGAGCAACACCAAAACAGGCCCTTGCAGGTCGGAATCTGCAACACTTTTAAACAATCCCCAACAGTTCCCAACGACTTCCAACGATTCCCATCCATCCCCAACGAGTGGCTGTCTGTCTCTCTCGTATTCGCCAGGAGAGGGAAGCGCGCTCGTCACTATAATTGCACGTCCTCTCCTCTCCTCTCCTCCTCCCTTCTCCCCTCCTCTCCTTTCCCCTCCTTCCCGCCCCTCCTCCTCCCTCCCTTTCCTCTCCCTTTCTCCTCTCCTCCCCACCCATCCCACCACACACCCCACTCCACCCCACGCACCCGCACCTCGCCTCACCGCACTCCACCGCTGCAGGTGTCTCTGAACGGGCACCTGTTCGACCGGTTCCTGATCAACGACGCGTTGGACGTGATAGAGCGCGCGGGCGGCACCTTCCAGCTCGCCACGTGCCTCGTGGGGCAGTCCGTCGACTCCAGCTCCTTTGCTGAGATCCAGGTAACTATGGTTGAAGTGCAGTTTGAGGGAGGGAGGTTCATGCGTCCAGCTCTTTTGCTGAGATCCAGGTAAGGTGGGTGGAGAGGGGTTTGAGGGTGGACTTGGGGGTGGGGAGAAGAGAGAACATGTGTGACTTGTTCGGCTGTACTAAACATGCTTGCTGTCGACATGATCGTGCGTGCCCCACACACCTCCCCCTCACCTCCCCACACCTTTCTCCTCCACTTTTCAAACCTACCGTAGGTGTCGGCCACATCGGAAGAGCAGCTAGCAGGGATAGTGAACGCACTTGCAGAGATAGCGCAGAAGGCGGAGGGGCACGCCCCCGCGCCGTCTCTGCTGACGCCCTTGCTGCTGTGAAAGCTGCCGCTGCCGCTGCTGCTCTTGCCAAGGAGGAATCCCAATCCGCTTCTGCTGCTGCTGCTTCTGCCCCCTCCCTCCCTTCTGCTGCTGCTGCTGCTCCCTCCCTCCCTTCTAATCTACCCTCCAGGTGTCGGCCACATCGGAAGAGCAGCTAGCAGGGATAGTGAACGCACTTGCAGAGATAACGCAGAAGGCAGAGGGGCACGTGCCGGAGAACCCCCTCGACGCGCACACCAACAGCTCACGCTGCCTCTTTCCACCCCTTTCCCCCGAATATCCCCCAGGTGTCTGCCACATCGGAGGAGCAGCTAGCAGGGATAGTGAACGCACTTGCAGAGATAGCGCAGAAGGCAGAGGTTCCCGAGAACCCCCTTGACTCGCACACCAACAGCCCCCGAGCCGTCTCCGCTGACGCGCTCGCTGCTATGAAAGCCGCTGCTGCCGCTGCTCTTGACAAAGAGACTCAATCCACTGCCGATGCTGCTGCTGCTACTGCTGCTGCTGGTGCTGATGCGGGTGCTGCAACGGGTGGGGAGAACGGGAATGTGGATGAGGGAGTGGGTTTGGGGGTGGGGGTGGAGGAGGGGAAGGAGGTGGAGTATAAGTGGAGGGTGCTGGTGCTGGGTGCGGGGAGGATGGTGGTGCCTGTGATAGATACGCTGGTGCGGTTTGGCGATGGGGAGAGGTGGTGGGGGGAGGAGGAGGTGGGGGAGGGGGAGAAGAGGCATGAGGCTCTGCATGTGACTGTGGCGTCTATGTTCCTGGAAGAGGCGGTGAAGGTGAGGATGTCTGGATGCATTTATGTGTGCGGTGTGCGTATATGCGTTTGTGCAGAGTGTGTGCATGCATGCATGCATGTGACGGTGGCGTCTATGTTCCTGGAAGAGGCCGTGAAGGTGAGGGGTGTATGTGTGTGGGTGTGCGGTGTATGCATGCAAGTGCCAATGCATGTATGTGCGCGACTGTGACTGTGACCTGGCGTCTATGTTCCTGGAAGAGGCTGTGAAGGTGAGGGGTGTATGGATGCATGTATGTGGGTGTGCGCGTGGGCGTGTGGGTGTGCGTGTGCGTGGGTGTGTGTGTATCCATGTCTGTACACCTGCATGCATGTGACTGTGGCGTCTATGTTCTTGGAAGAGGCCGTCAAGGTGAGGGGCGGGGGTGTGAAGGTGAGGGGTAATGGTCCATGTATCCTTCAGTTTCTTGCATGTTCCACCACCCCTCTCCATCCCTCTCCATATGTCATCACATAGGGCACAGTCACACTCACCCTTCCTCACAACCCCTCACAACCCCTCACCGCACATCACCAGGCAGTGGAGGGCTTCGAGCACACGCACCTCATGGAGCAATGTCCATGCACACTCATCGCTCAACCTACCCCACGCTACCCCACCCTACCCCATCGCATCGCACTGCACACCACCAGGCAGTGGAGGGCTTCGAGCACACGCACCCCATGGAGCTGGATATCAGCGACACTGCCAAGCTTGACGCTGCTGTTGCACAGGTGAGAGCTCGGAGCCATCATTTTCATCGTTGTGCCATCATGGGAGCATTTGAGAGTCAGCAAGCGGCACTGGTTGAGTGGGAGCATGTGAGAACAAGGCTCTGCCTGCCATCATGTGTGTTTCAGTGTTCAGAGTTCACCACCATCACCACCACCACCATCACCATCACCACCACCACCATCACCATCACCACCACCACCATCACCATCACCACCACCACCACCACCATCACCATCACCACCACCACCATCACCATCACCACCACCACCATCACCACCACCACCACCACCACCACCACCACCACCACCACCACCACTCAACCAATGCCAACTGCTTTAGTGTTCAGTGCTTCAAGGCCTGCTGCTTCCCCCGTTGACCATCTCTTCCGTCTGTCGGCCTCTTTTACTGGTGCTCTGCTTCTTCTGAGAGGGGGGTGAGAGGGGGAAGGAAGGGACGTGTTTTACCGGTGCTCTGCTTCTTCTGAGCATCAAGAGTGCTCCGCTTCTCCTGTGTTTTGTTCTTTGTGGCACTTGAGTCGACGCGAAAGTCACCTTGTTTCTGTTTTGTTTGCCTGCGTGCATGGCACGTGTCCTTTTCCTGCCCTCCTTTTCCTGCCCTCCTTTTCCTCGCCGCAGGCCGATGTGGTGATCAGCATGCTGCCACCTGCATGCCACATCACTGTGGCCAATGCTTGCATCAAGGTATGTACGCTCTTTCACTCGCACTCGCACTCGCACTCGCACTCACACTCACACTCGCACTCACACTCGCACGCGCATTTGCATTTCCTCTCCTTCCCTACTCCGATCCTGCTTCCGATTTTCCAATCCTCCCTTCACTACCCCTGTCGCCTCCTGTTTCTGCCCCCTGCTCTCCTCTCTCTCAAATCTCCCTTCACCCTCCTGGCCTTGCTCCCCCTACCCTTTCCAGCGAAAGCTAGATAGACCTCATGTTGTTCCATGCTCATGTTGTTCCATGCTCATGTCGTTCCATGCTCTTCTTCTCCCTGTCTCTCCTCCCCCTCCCTTGCTCAGGGCGAGCAAGCACCTGGTGACAGCATCAATCGTGAGTGCACAGATGGCACAGCTGAACCTCAGCCAGCCAAGCCATCCCCACTGCCTTATTGCTCTCTCCTTGTCCCCCCCCTCCCCTTACCTCCCCCACGCCTTGTCAACAGGCGAGCAAGCACCTGGTGACGGCATCGTACGTGAGTGCACAGATGGCACAGCTGGATGAGCCAGCCAAGGCCAGCGGGGTCACGGTGCTCTGCGAAATGGGGCTGGACCCTGGGATTGGTGAGCGGAGGGGAGGGTGGGGAGAGGGAAGGTGGCGGATGGAGGAGGACAGGGCCTTAGTGTCTGCCGTGCTGTGTGTGTGTTGTGCTTTTGAGATGGCTCATAAACCAGGCAAGGCCTGTCGGGTCAGTGTGCTCTGTGAAATGGGACTCTGGGCTGGACCCGGGCCGGGCATTGGCATTGGTGAGAGAGAGGAGGGTGGGGTTTATTGTATGCCGTATACTCTGTGCTCTTGAGTCTGGGCTTGGTACTCTGGGTGCTGTGTGTCTGTGCTGTATGCTGTTTGCCGGGTTTCTTGGTCTTCATTCATTCTGCTGCTCCCTGACACTCGGACAGAATATCCCTGTTGCCTAACACGTCCTCCCCCCCTGTCTTCTCCGTATTTCTGAGCCCAGACCACATGCTGGTTATGGACATGAAGCAGCCCATAGAGGCAGACGGCGGCACCACCAGCCCTTTAAACCTGGTCAAACCTGATATTCCCCTCTCGCCTCTCCCTCTCCCTCTCCCCCCCACTCCTCTCCAGACCACATGCTGGCTATGGACATGAAGCAGCGCATAGAGGCGGACGGCGGCACAATCACGTCCTTTGTCTCTCTCTGCGGCGGCCTGCCCGCGCCCGGTGCTGCTGACAACCCCCTGGCGTACAAGTTCAGCTGGAACCCACGTGGAGCGCTGCTGGCAGGGCGGAACTCGGCTGTGTACAAGAAGGAAGGCGCTCTTGTTGCTGTTAAGGGTACGTATGCTTGGAGTGCATCTAGTGTGAGTGTGGGGTGCACTGTGCACGTGGGGTGCACTGTTTTGCTTCCGAATTAATCCCCAAAAAGCCTGCCTTGTTGGACTTTTGAGGCGTTTTGGGAATGTTTTGCTTCCGAATTAATCCTCAAAAAGCAAGTCCTGCCTTGTTGGAATCCCCGAAAAGCAAGTTGTGAGGCGACTGAAAAGGCGGCCCCCTCTCCCCTCCTTTCTCACCTCCCCCCTCTCCCGACCCCCATCAGCCCAGACCCCCTCCGTCTGCTGCACTTCCCCGTGTTTGCACTCGAGGTGCTGCCCAACCGGGACTACTACTATGCCGACTACTACGGGCTCAGCAGCCCTGAAGTCCAATCTTCCCTCTCTTTCCCCTTCTCCCATTCCCTTCCCCCTCACCCCTCCCCTTCCCCTCCCCCTCTCCCTTCGCCCTTCCTCCGCTCTCCCCCACCCCACGCACCAGGGGAGGACCTCTTCTCCTCAGCCCAGGCCCTCCGTCTGCCGCACTTCCCTGCCTTTGCACTCGAGGTGCTGCCCAACCGGGACTCCCTCGGCTATGCTGACTACTATGGGCTCAGCAGCCCTGATCGCACCGTGGCTGCTGCTGCTGATTCTGCTGCTGCCGCTGCTGCGGTTACCGCAGAGACCATGTTCCGTGGAACCCTGCGCTATGAAGGTGAGGAATACCGTGATCTTCTTGTGAGCGCTGCATTATGGTTTCTCCTCCATACTGGCAGGCCTGGCAATGGCATCACTCGGTCTTTTCAGCCAGGACCCGCACCCGCTCCTCTCCATCCCCCTCCCTCCTCTTTTCTCACTCTCAGCTCACTCCTCCCTCCCCTCCTACCCCTTCTCAGGTTTCTCCTCCCCAATGGCGGGTCTGGCCTCCATCGGTCTCTTCAACCAGGACCCCCACCCTCTCATCTCACAGGGAGTGCCCTCTCTCCCTCATCTCACCCCTCCCCTCACCTCCCCCCCCCTCTTTGCCTTCACAGGTTTCTCCTCCATAATGGCGGGGCTGGCATCCCTCGGTCTCTTCAACCAGGACCCCCACCCTCTCCTCTCCGTGCCTCGCGCCGCCGCCGCGGCCATGCAAGCCGAAGCTGACCCCACCGCACCAGCCACCACCGAAGCCCCGCGCGACGACGACGACGCGCCCCTCCCGCCCTACCCCACCTATGCTTCCTTCCTGCACGCACTGGTTACCACTGCTGGCACGGCTGATCCTGCTGCGGCTGCTGCGGCGGCGGAGAGGTTGGTGGTGGAGGAGGATTTGGGGAGTGCGGAGGCGGTGCCGGTGGTGCTGCTGGCGGTGCAGAAGAGGCTGGAGGAGCTCGGACTGGGGAAGGATGCTGCTCGCGTTGTGAATGCTGTGAGGTCAGTGGTGGTGCTGTGCGGTGCGGTGCTGAGGGGTGCTGTTGGGTGCATTTGTATGTGGAGGGGTGCGGTTTTGTGTGGTGGGGGGTGGGGTGGTGGTAGAATGTTGGGAACGGAATCGTGTATTTCTAGTTTTTTCCAGGCTGTCAGTCGTTTAAAATGTTGCTACCATGCGAATGTTTTACTCTCTCCCTAACACTCTCCCTTGCTTGCAGCTGGCTGGGCCTGGCGGCCAATGAGGATGTGCCAGATGGCACGAGCAGCTGCTTCGACCTGCTGTGCCATCGCATGGAGGAGAGGATGAAGTTTGGGCCGAGTGAGAGGGTGAGTGAAGGGGGATGAGTGCATGCTGGATGTGTGCTGTTCCAATCCAAGAGCCATATAGGCTGGACTCTCAAAGGCTATACCATCGCATGGAGGAGGGGATGAAGTTTGGGCCGAGTGTGAGGGTGAGTGCTAGGGGTGAGTATTGGATGAACGCTGGCTATTTAGAGGATGAGTAAAGAAAGCATATGAAACATAAATTCCTTGCAAAGAGTACTCCAAACAGCCAGCGAGAGGGTAAGCATGTGGAGTTCCCTTGACCTCGCTAACCACCCCGGTGCAAGTGCAGAGAGAGGGGGGGGTGTTTGCCACGTTTCTGTCTTGTCAATTATTGTGGCCGAGACACTAGTGCCAAGAGAAAGTGTAAGTTGACCTACCTGGTATTGACATATGCCAGGACATGGTGCTGCTGCATCACGAGCTGGAGGCACCATTCCCTGATCGGATGACCTCTGAGTTGACTCCAAATTCTTCTCCCCCTAAATCCCCATCTTCCTCTCCCTACCCCTCCCCCCCCCCCCCCCCCTGCAGGACATGGTGCTGCTGCATCACGAGCTCAAGGCATCTTTTCCTCATGGGCGGAGATTGATTTATTGTTTTAACACTCCCAAACTTTCCTCCTCCCTCCCCCCCCTGCCAGGACATGGTGCTGCTGCATCACGAGCTCGAGGCATCGTTCCCCGATGGGCGGGCCAAGGAGAAGCATTCAGCCACGCTGCTGGCGTTTGGGGAGATGGATTCTGGAGGCGTGTCCGCCATGGCCCGCACTGTTGGCCTGCCCGCTGCCCTCGGCGCCATTGTGAGTGCGAGCGTATGCATGCATGCATGCACACATGCAGACACCTTAGCATTCACACACACACACACACACACACACACTCACGCGCGCACACGCACACACACACACACACACACACACACATACACACACACCCTGTAAGCATGCACACATGCTTACACGTCTTAAGCGTGCTCACACGCACAGACATATTCACCATGCTCACACTTTCCCCTTGTTCCGCTGCTCTTCTCCCCTGTTTCCCCCATGGTTGACCTGCGCGCCAGCTTCTCCTGCAAGGCAAGGTGCAGCAGCGTGGCGTTCTCAGGCCTGTCACCAGCGACATCTATGCACCCTGTGAGCTCATGCATGCACCCTGTGAGCTCATGCATGCACCCTGTGAGCTCATGCATGCACCCTGTGAGCTCATGCATGCACCCTGTGAGCTCATGCATGCACCCTGTGAGCTCATGCATGCACCCTGTGAGCTCATGCATGCACCCTGTGAGCTCATGCATGCACCCTGTGAGCTCATGCATGCACCCTGTGAGCTCATGCATGCACCCTGTGAGCTCATGCATGCACCCTGTGAGCTCATGCATGCACCCTGTGAGCTCATGCATGCACCCTGTGAGCTCATGTATGCACCCTGTGAGCTCATGCATGCACCCTGTGAGCTCATGCATGCACCCTGTGAGCTCATGCATGCACCCTGTGAGCTCATGCATGCACCCTGTGGCCGCATTTATGCACCATTCTGGTGGTTCCCCTTGTGCAATCACCTGGTCTGTGTATGTTGATTTTCTTCTCCTTCAGGCCGTTTTTAGCAATCCCGGATCCCGCACTTACTTCATTCTCACTTCTCCCCCCTTCGTTATTCTTCCCTCACCACCCTCCCTGTTCCTTCCCGCGCCCCCCCCTACCCACGCTCACCCTGTCTGCCTACACCTGCTCACTCCTTGCCCCCTGTGTTCAGCCCTTGTTGCCCTGGCCAAGCTTGGTGTGCATTGCAAGGAAGCATCAGAGAAGCTTCTCTGAGAAACACGCGGGTCTCTTGGCTTGGCACAGCACGGCACAGCACAGCAGGGCATGGCATGCTAGCTCAAGGCACCAACGACTGTGATGCCTTGTCGTTGGTCAATTGATCTTCCAGCAACTGCAGCAACGTGTATTGTGGGGAGTGACTACCTACTTGGTGGTTTAATCAAGAGCTCACCACCAAGCCATGCAGGAGAATCAGAAGCAAGAGATGGATGAGAAGGATTGGATTGGAACCTGGAAACGGGAGCAGCACAAAAGAGATGGTTGGGTGGGTACTGGTAACTGCTCGAGCTGCAAGAACAAGCCGAATCACTTTGGATCTGTTCAGCAGCAGGACAACCCTGATGACAGCGTAAGCTGCATTTGCATCACTCCCAATCAGTGGCAACGCTATTGTGCAGCTGATTCCGATTACCTTAGGCATGCTGAAAAGTGCTTACTCCACACTGGCGTGCAGCATCTCTAGGTCTGGCTGTTGCGAGGGGGGTTCTAGTATCTTTTTGGAAGGTTAGCCCATCAGTATGGTAGTCAACTTGCAATAATGTTTTTTTCTTTCTTTGTCCCTAGTTTCTGTTTGTTTTGCTTTTGTTTATACTGCCATTGTCTTCCCTGAGGCATGGCTTCTCTTGATGCCTGGGCAAGTCGTTTTGGTGGCTATTCTGATGTTGCACAAGCCAGACTAGCTTGTCACTGGGTGTCAAAAGAGGAAGCTAGGCCTTGGAAGACTTAGGAGCCATAGCTAGGCAATAACGGGAGTTACGAGAGGGAAGGGAGAAGCAATAGTTGGCCAACAAAAGAGGTGTTGCACTATAGGGTTTGGAGTACATATAGGCAAGAAGCAAAGGGTGCACCACCAACAGTTTATAACATTAACTACAGTAAGTAGGATATAACTGAAATATAACTTTGACACACCCCCTTAGCCTGATTGCGGTAGGAACTTGTGCAGTCAGCACCCCCTGAAGGAGTAAACCAAGAGCAGTGGAAGAAGGCAGAGAGGTAAGGAAGGAGGAGGCAAGAGGAGAGGAGAGAAGCGGAGAGGAGGTGGGCATGAGCGCGCACGCTCAATGCGATCGCCCCCCATTAATAACCCCTAAGTCATCACCCCTCTTTTCAGTCAACCCCTTTAACCTCATTCCCTTCGCACCTTTCTATTTCCGCCACCCCCTCACCCTGCTCCCCTTCTTCCCCCCCCCCCCCCCCCCCCTCCACGGCGACAAGCCCTGCAGGAAGAGAGATGGGAGGGACGGGCTGCTGGCTGGTCACCCCCGCCACCCCCACATCTCTCCCCCCCTCCCCCCCATGGCAGAAGTCGCGGAAGGGAAGGGGGGAGCGGCGTACGGAGCTTCTGGCACTAGCGCTTCGCGGCTGGCGCAGGCGCTGGTGTCAAATCTGATTTATATGTTTGTAGGCTGTAGTGGAGTAGCCTGTATAGAATACAACACTTTTAGGGTTTGGTACTTGTACTTTGATTCCTTGCTAGTGAACTCATTCATGCTCGTTAGTTTTTAACATGGTTTCAGAGCATTACCTAGTGACCGACTGTGGTTACCGCGTTACCCCACGCCCTGCTCTGCGCTGCGCCATCAGCGCGCGCCCTGCCCTGCCCTGCCTTGTGTCACACTGCCCGTGTACGCCCTGCCCTGTGTCGCGCTGCCCCGCGCACGCCCTGCCCTGCCCCGCGTCTCGCTGCCCCGCGCACGCCCTGACCTGCCCCGCGTCGCACTGCCTCGCGCACGCCCTGCCCTGCCCAGCGTCGCGCTGCCTCACGCACGCCCTGCTCTGCCCCGCGCCCTGCTACCCTGCGCGGCGTGCCCTGCTGCAGCCCGCGCGTCGCGTTCTGCTGCTCCGCGCATCGCGCTCTGCTACAGCCCGGGCGTAGCGCCCTGCTGCCCTGCGCGTCGCGCCCTGCTGCAGCCCGCGCGACGCACTCTGCTGCCCCGCGCGTCGCGCTCTGCTACGCGAGTTCTGGAGGTACTCTCTCACCGTAGCAGCTACGCGAGTGGTACGCTCAGCTCTGCTGGAGCTGGAGGCACTGCAGCTGGAGCCACTGGAGCTGGAGGTACCGGAGGAGCTGGCACCGCTGGTCCTGGAGGTGCTCGTACTGAAGGTACTGGAGCTGCTGGGGCTAGTAGTGCTGTTGGTGTAGGAGGTGCTTGTCAAACTATATATGTGTTAGTTCTGTGTAGGCTATAGTGGGGTAGCCCATATGGGGTACAACCCAAAGTTAGGGTTAGTACTTGTACCCACAATTCATTCAATGCAATCATTCCTGCTTGCTATCTTGACATGGTTTCAGAGCAGTAGGTCCGCAAGACCGTTTTTTTTTCGGGCCCACCATACTTAGCTTCCGACTGCGGTTACCGCATTACCCCACTACCCTGCGTCGCGCTGCCCCGCGCACGCCCTGCCTTGCCCCGCGTCGCGCTGCCTCGCACACGCCCTACCCTGTCCTGCCTGGCGTCACCCTGTGCCAGCGCCCTGCCTTGCGCCGGCGCCCTGCCCTGCGCCAGCGCCCTGCCCTGCGCCAGCGCCCTGCCCTGCGCCAGCGCCCTGCCCTGCGCCAGCGCCCTGCCCTCCGCCGGCGCCCTGCCCTGCGCCAGCACCCTGCCCTGCGCCAGCGCCCTGCCCTGCGCCAGCGCCCTGCCCTTCGCCAGCGCCCTGCCCTGCGCCGGCGCCCTGCCCTGCGCCAGCATCCTGCCCTGCGCCAGCGCCCTACCCTGCGCCTACGCCCTGCCCTACGCCCGCGCTGCAGCCCTGCGCGTCGCGCCCTACGGCAGCCCGCGCGTCACGCGCTGCTGCCCCGTGCGTCGCGCTCTGCTGCAGCCCGCGCGTCGCGCTTTAAGGCAGCCCACGAGTCGCGCGCTGCTGCCTCGCGCATCGCGCTCTGCTGCAGCCCGCGCGTCGCGCCCTAAGGCAGCCAGTCACGTCGCGCTCTGCTGCCCTTCGCGTCACGCACTCCTGCAGCCTGCGCCAGCGCCCTGCCTTGCGCCAGCGCCCTGCCCTGCGCCCGCGCCCTGCTAAACCCTAAATATAATTAAAATAATAATAAAAAAGGCCCTAGGTGCTTTTTCCCAAGGAGCTACTACCTGCTATTGCCTGCTACTGCCCTGCTGTGGCCGCGCGCCGCCCTGCTCTGGCTGCACGCCGCCCTGCTCTGGCTGCGCGCTGCCCTGCTGCTCTTACTGTTGCTGCTGCTACTCATGCTACTGCCTTCCCTCCGTACTGCCCTAGAGGTCGAGCTCCTCCTAGCTTGCCCGCCATGACTTCCCTTTGTCGTACCGGTGGGAGTGGTGACAGCGGTGGTGGTAGCAGTGGGAGTGGTGGCGGCCGTAGTAGCATTCACTGTGGCGCTGTTTGGTGCGGAGTGTCTGGCGATGGCCAGATGCAGCTACGGCGGCGTCCGACCCTTACGCCCCGGCAGCTTCGTGAGTGGCTTTACCAGCGTGGGCCGTCTCCGAGTCCGGGTCGCTGCCAGTACGTCATTCGCACAGGTCGTCGAGTTGGTGAGACCTGTGGGACACCTGGTCACGCACAGTCCCGCTGCTTCGCCTATTTGACTGACGCCCAGCGCACAGAGTTTGGCGACGAGGCTGAGATCCCCCCCTGGCTTGAGCTATTTAGGTCGGGTGTTGCTGTCTTTGCTTTAAACTATGACGCCATCCTTATTGCCATGTCTGCTTTGCCTCGTGGTGCTGAGAGTGACTATCACCTGTATGTACAGTACGACCCTGGTATAGAGGTTGCTGCTCTAGGTGCTAGTGAGGCTGCTGCCTTAGGTACTAGCGAGTCTGCTTCCTCAAGTACTGCGCCAGCTGATGCCTTGCACACCTTCACGCTTCACTCAGATGCTCCCCGCTGCTTCTTCCGTGACAGTACTGCACTCACACCACTCCCTGCACCTGTTGCAATCTCTCTGGCTGACCCCTCAGGGGGCCCAGTTCTTGCACGGTCCACCACTGTACTTCCGTGCCCGGTGGTTCCGTTTGGCTCACTGATAGGCTTCCACCTCCCCTCGTTCTCTACGAACTTGGTGAGCAACGCAGTTCTCCAAGACCAGTGGGTTGACACCTTTACCCCTGGAGGACAGCGTGTGGCGATCTGTATGTGCTTCCGGACCAGCCGCCACCTGACCACGTTTACCTGTCGGCCAGGGTCGAGTCTTTACACACTGACGACTGCTATTGGTCAGGTTTCTTCGTCAGGTCAGGTAGCCTCCCTTGTGAGTGTCGCTCACTGTCGCACCAGACTCTTCTCCAGCACCACCGCCTGGGCCACCCCTCCCTGCCACGTCTACGTGGCATGCACCGTCGCCTCCTTGTGTCTGGTCTTCCCAGGTCTCTCCCTCCCCTCCCTGCCTCGCCTCCGCCACCCTGCCTTCCTTGCGTCGAGGGGCGGCAGCGCGCCGCTCCTCACTCCTCCTCGTTTCCCCCGACAGAGGCTCCTCTGCAGACCCTCCACCTGGACGTGTGGGGCCCAGCCCGCATTCGTGGACAGGGCGGTGAGCGGTACTTTCTGCTGGTTCTCGACGACGACTCGCGGTACACCACGGTCTTCCCCTTGCGCACCAAGGGTGAGGTCCCTGCTATCCTGATCCCTTGGATCCGAGCAGTTCGTCTCCGGCTCCGCCGCAGGTTCCGCCAGGACCTTCCTGTCCTACGTCTGCACTCTGACAGAAGTGGTGAGTTCACCTCCGACCTCTTGCGGGCCTTCTGTCAGGGGGAGGGCATCGAGCAGTCGTTCACGCTTCCAGGCTCACCACAGCAAAATGGGGTTGCTGAGCGCTGCATTGGCTTAGTCATGGAGGTCGCTCGTACCTCCTTGATTCATGCGGCGGCTCCCCATTTTCTGTGGCCGTTTGCGGTCCGGTACGCCGCGCAACAGCTCAACCTCTGGCCCCGTGTCTCCTTGCCGGAGACCTCGCCCACACTGCGTTGGACGGGGGAGGTTGGCGATGCGTCGCGTTTCCGGGTCTGGGGTGTTCGCGCCCTTGTCCG